GGCAATAGGCTCACCCGCTATTACATGGGACTCATAACATAAATAGTGAAATGTGAGCGTTACATTGTACAGTGACAAAGTGCCGTAATGTGAACCTCTGCCTACTCCTTCGGGGATAAAAGGCGTGACGTTATGTTATGTATGTCTTAATGACAAGCTTCACAAAAAAACCTAAGTTGTTAAATTTTCTATTAAAAAGTGCATCGAGATTCCAAATCAACTTTTAAAATATCCATTCACAGCAACGAACATAGAGGTAGAATATTCAGACCATCGACACATTTTCCATTTACTTGAATAACTAGTATTTCCTAACAGTACTTAGCAGGTACCTTACTTATGTGCAATATGAATATTTGCGTAGGTACAAATACTTTGCATTTCCGTGTGCGCGTGCGCCGGCTCGAGACGGGCCGCTACGCAATCACGAGTCTATGGTAATGGCTGCCTGTTCTGCACTATTGCCGAGTCTGTGGTTCGGTTCCATGATGTAGCATGACTGGAATAAGGTGTAGACTTTTTTTTACGGGGGAAAATCATCGAATGACTGCTCCCGCCTGGATGAGGCGGAAGGGAGTGTCAGACTCTTACTGACTAAAAACTACCCCGTTCCTTCTCCTGTACGTCGAGCCGGAGCCCCGGTTACCCGTTAGGTTCTCCGCGACTCCGAATCGGCATCAGCCCTGTTGGGCCCTATCTGTGGTGGTCTGATAAGGTCTAGACTTGAAATCATTATTGTCTTATGTGTTTTGATTTGAGGTATTTTCTTAGAAGATCTACAAACGATATCAGAAAGATCAAGTCAATACAAACAACTATAAAAGCCAAAATTTTTAAATAAATACTGGTTACCAATCGGTATCCATAGGCGGTGCTGATGGCTTACCGTCAGATGATCCGTGTGCTCGTTTACACAACGGTGTGATTCTTTCACGCCGGTTTCATGTCAAACCGTGGTATCAGTACTTCTCCTGTCGCATATTTTACGAACAAGTTAATATAACATAACATCACGCCTTTTACCCCCGAAGGGGTAGGCAGAGGCGCACATTATGCCACTGTACAATGTAACACCCACTTTTCACTATTTATGTTATGAGTCCCATGTAATAGGGGGTGAGCCTATTGCCATATACCGGGCACAACTCCAGACTCCGTGCTACTACTGAGAATTTTTTAAAAACCCAGTAATACTTTGCCCGACCCGGGAATCGAACCCGAGACCCCTTGCCCGGCAGTCGCACTTGCGACCACTCGGCCAACGAGGCAGTTAATATAAACACAAATATTTTATGTTTAAACAACGAAAGGAACCCACAGTCGCTGAGTTACGTCTCATTACCACTATGAGACAGTATATTTACCAACATAAAACAAATGACAGTGTTGTGTTGTGACGTGCATTCTTTTACTATTTGTAATATTACATATTAGTGTATTAGTGTGCGTTACCGGGAATTTGAGAATTGTGGGGGAGGCTAGACACCCGGAGTAATCTGGTTTCACGTTGTTTCACGTCGGTTCTCTATGAGGCCTCACTCCTGTCGAACCGGCCTACTCGTGCCGAAACATGGCTCTCCCACACTTAAAAATTCCCCATACGGGTGATGTTACAGGCCTTATCCCAACATTTTCCAAGTCAAGACAGATTAATGGAATTAACACATACTACCTTTTTATCCTGAGAAGTTTACAATTCCCGTGTGATACGATTTGTTTTTATTTCTCACATTTACAATCACGAACAACAATAACACCTTTATTATTTTAAAAGCGAAAATAAGTTTGTTGGTTTGTTCCGCTCTCACGCCTAAACTACTGAACCGATATTGATTATTTTTTACAGAGGGACCTTAAGTACAAAGATCTTAGATCGTATATCGATTTCATCTATACTAATATTATAAAGCTGAAGAGTTTGTTTTTTTTGTTTGTTTGTTTGAACGCGCTAATCTCCGAAACTACTGGTCCGGTTTGAAAAATTCTTTCTGTGTTGGATAGCCCATTTATCAAGGAAGGCTATAGGCTATAAAATATCACGCTACGATTAATAGGTGCCGAGCAGAGCGAGTGAAACCGCGTGGAAGTAGCTAGTTGCAGATAATTTCGAAAAAGCCAAGGTGAAGTAGAGAGTAGTAATAATTGAACCAGCCTGCTTATATGACCAGCGAGGGCTTAGTTTAAGTTTGTTTTTCGTTTAAAGAGAGCCAAACGCGGTTGTCCTTCTCCAATGAACCAATCACCAACTTGTATGTTTGTAGACGCATCCACGACACAGGACAAAATTCTATTGTGGGGCAATGTTTAAAAAAAACAAAAGAAGAAGCCTTAGGTAGTACGAGTTTTTTTACATTTAACGTAAACGAAGCGAGTATGCGTCCGGCGCTCTGAGTGGCCAGCTCCCATGAACCAACCCATTATATGATTATAACGCCGAACGCGGTCTCGTTCGTACTAAGCCCTCAGAGGCTTGAAAGCGTTCAGAAAAGAGCGTCAGGTAGTCTAATCTGTAAAATATTTATCAATTCGAACTCTTCAAGTCAATGCGATCGCGGTTTGCCATGGTTGTTTTGTATCAATAATCTCGACCTAATAATAATCTTGCAGGGGTGTCCATTTGCGGCACTGATCGCTTACTATCAGGTGATCCGTCTGCTCGTTTGCTTCCTATTCCATAAAAAAAAACAATGATGTGCGAGAATGCGAACAAGCTCGCTTTGAGAGTTCGAATTGACAACTTAAAGTATTCTGTAATAGCCTAACTGTACTCTTTTTGTTTTAATTCCTCTTAATTATTCTGGTGTTGCAATTGTGGGAGAGTTATGCTTCGGCACGAACGGGCCCGCTCGACCGGAGTGATACCACGGCCTCACAGAAAACTGACGTGAAGCAACGCTTGTGTTGTGTTTCGTCATGTGAGTGACGTTACCGGAGGCCTAATGTCCCCCCTCCCGTCTTCCCCAATCTCTGAATCCCCAACAATCCTCAAAAGGCCGGTAAAGCACTTGTAACGCCTCTGGCGTTCCAGGTGTCTATGGACGACGCCAATTGCTTACCATTAGGTGATCCGTCTGCTCGTTTACCGGCTTCACTACATAATATAAAACAAAGTCGCTATCCGCCGTCTGTCTGTCCCTATTTCAAAATTCGTTGCGTAGTTTTATAGATCTAAGCATATTAGATCTATAAAACTACGCAACGAATGTTGATGCGGTTTTTTTATTAAATAGAGTGATTGTTAAGGCAAGTTTATATGTACAATACATGTATATTGCACCCGTGCGTAGCCGGGACTGGTCGCTAGTATCCCATAACAAAAATATGTATGTGGATGTTATGGGCAGTGTTTAGGCAATATAAGGCGTTATATTACGTACGTGTTAGTTATCTACTTTTACTTAATTACAACAATTATTTGCACTAGCTTCTCTTTGCGATGTCACCTGTTATTAAATAAGTGTCGTGGCGTGTTTAACAATAATGCTCTTCAAGATTATATCATGAAAATAAATACAGACATAGAAATTTTAATATCCTGTCACTAAACTAAAGATTAGATAAAATAATTAACTTTTAAAAAAAAATAAAACCGACTTCAAATGCGAGAACACAAAAAAAACTAAAAATTAAAAAATAATTCCTAATACCTATTACCTAATACTATAATTTTTCTAAACTATATCAAAGTAACTAATTAAAGTTAAACCATCTAAATATCTTAAAATAGTTATACTTATATACCTACCTATTGTTTTTTGGAGTCGGTGCCAGTAATAAATGAATATTAAACCTAATGAAATAAGAAAAAGTACTCAATGAAACAAAAATATTAAGAAATAAGTTGTATGTAGCCTGGTACAACTAATTTTTTTAATTTTTAGTTTTTTTTTGTGTTCTCGCATTTGAAGTCGGTTTTATTTTTTTTAAAAAGTTAATTATTTTATTTTAAAATTTTTAGTGTTACTAAAATTTCATCCCCAATTTTCCACCCTTGGGGGTTGAAATATTTTCTTCAAATTCGCATGAAACCATCCTTTTGATAATACCTATTCAACAAAAAAATAATAGTTCAAATTGGTTCATAATCGGCGGAGATATTGCGTATAAAAAAATCATCCCCCAATTTTCCACCCTTGGGGGTGAAATATTTTCTTCAAATTCGCATGAAACCACCCTTTTGATAATACCTATTCAATAAAAAATAATCGTTCAAATTGGTTTAAAATCGGCGGAGTTATTGCGTATAAATAAATTCATCCCCTATTTTCCACCCTTGGGGGTTGTTATTTTTATTAGTAAATTTAAATGGGACCAACCTTGAGGTATTACCTATACGCCGAAAAAAGAATTTTTCAAATCGGTTCATAATTGGCGGAGTAATCGCGTAACAAATATAGAAAAAAAAAAAAAAATACTTACGGGTCGAATTGAGAACCTCCTCCTTTTTTTGAAGTCGGTTGAAAATTGAAATACTATTTCTATTATTATTGTTATGGTATAAGCCGGTAAACGAGCAGACGGATCACCTGATGGCAAGCAATCGGCGGCGTCGCCCATAGACACCTGAAACGCCAGAATTTGGCCGATGATTGCCCGAGTGGTCGCAAGTACGACTGCTTGCCAAGAGGTCTCGGGTTCGGCAAAGTATTACTGAGTTTTTTTAAAATAAAGTTCTCACGGAAATAGCATGGAATCTGGAATTGTGCCCGGTATATGGCAATAGGCTCACCCCCTATTACATGGGACTCATAACATAAATAGTGGAAAATTGGTGTTACATTGTACAGTGCCGTAATGTGCACCTTTGCCTACCGCTTCGGGGATAAAAGGCGTGATGTTACGTTATGTTATAATAAAAGTGAAAAGTACATCAAAAAATGATGAGTATTATGTATTTCCTGTCACGTCTCGTCTGCTGCATTTTGAAGTGCATACAGACAACCATACATTAACATACCCTAAGTTAGAGATAGCATTTTTAACTTTATTCACATGTCAAAATGGTTGAAAATCAATTGAAGTTGTTTGTCTTTCTCGGATACCGTGATATGCTGGTATTTGTATATTATTATGCGTCGCTTCGTCCCTTCGATTCTTTTTAGTATGCGTGTCATAAGATGCAGGCAACGTGTGAACAAACTGACTTGTTGTTATTTATTATACTGTTTTAGTTTTGAGGTAAAACGCTTTGTTTTATGAGAGGGATTGAGGTATATATTGTGTTTAAAAGCCGACATGATGTAAAATATTTAAATGGATTTCAAAAATGAATGATTGACATCACGCCTTAGCCTATCCCCGAATGGGTAGGCTGAGGTTCACATTATGCCACTGTACAATGTAACACCCACTTTTCATTATTTATTCTATTTATATTATATAGTCCCATGTAATAGGGGGGGTAAATTGATTTGATTCGATTTGATAAGCCTATTGCCATATACTGGGCAAAAATTAATGAAAGGGAAAAACTATATTCCACGCGTTAAAAAACAAGTGTCATGTACAAATATGTTCTATTAATAGGTACTAATGGATACAATGACATGTTCATGTCCCAAATCTGCCGTGAAATGGGACCAGTTCAGCACGTCCAAGACAGACTAGCCCCTTAAGTGACTCGCAGACGAACAAGCCAATAAGATATCAGCAATTTAAATTTAAATTAATTAAATAAACAATACCTAGGACCGCCATACTCGGGGGCGCCAGAAGAACCGGCAATAGGGTAGACGACTAATTTTTATTTTAATGTCCGTCTGATAGATTATTTAAAAACATTGGACACGTATTTTTTCTTTTCTCACAGAAACGAATGAAATGTCGCGTGACGTCACTTCTCAGTACATTTTATACTAAGAAATGACGTTTTAGCCCCCACTCCTAAACTTTGATTCGTTTTATCTCAGTATTGTTTTATTATACGACAAAATAAAAAAATACGTGTCTAATATTTTTTCATTACCTAACTTACGGACTAATTATATTTTTAATTTTCATACCCTGTCATCATCCCCATTTCTATGACAGACACACACCCGCTACACTGCTGTCCTGTAACGTGTAGCGGGTTCGATTTCCGAACAGAGCAAATCTTTGTGTGATCAACAAATTGGCAATTGTGTGATCGGCATGTGTATGTGAACTTGTATGTTTGCAAACGTACCCACGACACAGGAGAAAATCCAAGTGTGGTGCAACGTTTAAAAAAAGTATCCCAAAAGAATTGAATTGAATGAATTGTTATGTGCCCAAAGGCCCCAGCGTAGTCTGAGACGGCCCTGTATGGGAAACAGTCAATATTAATTTCATGATTATAATTACGTCCATCGCAACATAGGTACCTGATTAACAATTCTATGCGTTAACAATGAGGACACCAAACAATGGCCAGTTACCTAACGCTAGAGGCGTGATGTTACTACTAGTTAATGTAATAAGAATAATATTAATGATATAATTTAATTGAAGTGTGTGTCAAGCATTTAATATAAAGTGAAGTAACTTGAACTATTTGCCTATGACCACGGGTTAATTGTGCTATTTAACCTTGCACAATAGGGATGATGACAGGGTATGAAAATTAAAAATCTAGTTAGTCCGTCAGTTACGTAATGAAAATATATTAGACACGTATTTTTTTATTTTGTCGTATAGTAAAACAATACTTAGATAAAACGAATCAAAGTTTAGGAGCGGAAGGTAGCTACGTCATTTGAGAGTAAGTATAAATCGTACTCAAAAGTGATGTCATGCGATATTTCAAATCAATATGTTTTATGGCATAAGCCGGTGAACGAGCAGACGGATCACCTGATGGTAAGCAATCGGCGTCGCCCATGGACACCTGGAACACCAGAGGCGTTATAAGTGCGTTACCAGTTTTTTGGGGATTGGGAGTTTGAGGATCGTTGGGGATTCAGGGATTGGGGAGATTGGGGAAGGGGAGGGTAATTGGGCCTCCGGATGCTATATCTTCATATAGCACAGAGTCTGTTTAAATTGGTTTTCAGCCATAACCCATCTTGATCTTTACCTGAATTGGATTTTTAACACAGTTTTTTACAAAATTGTTGTAATTTTAATAGGCCTACTCTATTGCCACAGGGAATAAAATTATTAAAAGTACGTCCTTAATTCATTATCACACCCACTACAGCATCACTACTGCTTGCCCACTCAGAGCGTAACAAGCGTAAAGTTTATATAACACTAAGTATAGCTACAATAATAAACATTTCAACAAATCAATGTACTGATATTCAGTGAAAGCCGGTGAGTAGTACCACACCTGCGCGTACGCATACCAGCCGACCGCGACGTACTCTGCGCGTGCGACGCATTGCTGGCCAATAATGATACGTTGTTTTTTTATTAATTTTATGATTATTGTTGAAGGAATGCAACTTTTAATAAATATAGGAAATTGAAATTGTAGATTTTGTATTGGTGATTCCTAAAAATACCGATTCACTGAGCGAAGAAATCGCCACTAAATTAGTTATAACAGTAGTAGTGTACGACAACAGACCATTGTAGATGTCATAAACCATACACGAAATAATAAACTACACTCATTAATGTACGTACGTACCATGTTTAAAAACCCTATAGATTTACATCTTATTTGTTCACAAGCTACTTCCGCGCGGTTTCACACGCTCTGCTCAGCTCCTTTTGGTCGTAGCGTGATGTTTTATAGCCTATAGCCATCCTCGATAAATGCGCTATCCAACACAAAAAGAATGATTCAAATCAGACTTTTAGTTACGGAGATTAGCGCGTTCAAATAAACAAACAAACAAGCAAACAAACAAACTCTTCAGCTTTATAATATTAGTATATAAGATATAAGATTATCGTCCATACTACTCAAATATCCTTTACTCTATTCTCAAGGTCAATCTCTAAACACCTTCTCTTATTCCAGGGTTCAGACCCTCGAGTGGCGACCTGCCGCGGGCGGCTGCAGACCAGACGCTGCCAGCTCAACCAGGAGATCAACAAGGAACTCCGGCTGCGGGCCGGCGCTGAGAACTTGTTCAAGGTAACACAAAATAAAAGGATTTATTTATTTCACACTAGCGACTCGCCCCGGCTTCGCACGAATGTCATATGCATGTATTATACATACCAACCTTCCTTAAGAATCACTCTATCCTTTAAAAAAATCGCATCAAAATCCGTTGCATGGTTTTAAAGATATAAGCGTACAGGGACAGCCAGACCGCGACTGTGTATAGCGACTTTGTTGTATACTATGTAGTGTTAACAACATAATATCACACCTTTTATCCCCGCAGGGGTAGGCAGAGGTGCACATTAGGGCATTTAATGCCACAATGTAACTATTTATGATAGGAGTCCCATGTAATAGGGGGTGAGCCTATTGCCATATACCGGACACAATTCCAGACTCCATACTACTACTGAGAAATAAAAAAAAACAGTAATACTTTGCCCGACCCTGGAATCGAACCCGAGACCCCCAGTAGTCGCACTTGCGACCTTGGGTGTCAACTGACACATGATTTCTACAAAACCTAAAAAAATATTCCCATTTCTATTCATAAAGGACGTAAAGCGTAGAAGCAAAGTTCTAGATCTGACCTCTGCCTGCTCGTGTTAGCTTGCCGTCCCATCAGATTCAGAGAATGAATGTATTCTTTGCTGTGGCGTAAAAGGATCTAAACGCAACTGTCAACCGCTATGACATAAGAAATTGAACAGCATTATCATCAATTGAAAGTTATCTACTACTGAACTAAGAGGGTACCATAATTCTCAAATGGTAGTAAGGTCATATAAAATTGTGTGTATGTTGCTGGCCGTCCCTCGGTAGTTGTCGCAATTTCAGGACAACCCAAGTCCAATAAATTGTTCTATATCGTTCACAAACAAAGAGTAATACAAAGGTGATTCACAACATTTCCTTATTTCGTACTTAAAATACGAGTATTTAGCCGTATCTAACATAAATCTAAATTCAGTCCACGCAAATTATTTCCTATCTATTTCTTGCTATCCACCCTGATATTACAAAGTCGAATGACATAAAAACCTCGGTTCCTACTTACCCCGCGCGTTTCCTGGTACAAATCACAACATTCTCCAGTAATCGCCATCGCGGCGTGACGTCACGTGCAATTGACACTTTCGCTGTGCACGCGCATTGCGATCTGACCGTTTTTGTTGCGTTTGATGAAATACACCTTTTAGATAGGGATCGTAACTAGCTAAAGCTGCGTGTTACAAGTGTTCCTTAACTTAGCAACTTGACTGCAGACGAGCCACATTGCATTTGTCACTTTTCTGTTCTTCACGCGGGTGTGACAAGAGCAACAGCACTCCTGATAAACCCGAAGCTTTTAAGCCCCTTTTCTGCAAGTCATAGTCCAGCTGTGGACTGTTACAGACTGTGGCTTTTGATGTTAGCTGTAATTTGCTCTCCAGAACTCCCTAAAGATAATACAACAGTCACTATGAAATGGCTAGACTAGACTCGTTACATTTAAATAACTCGTATTAAATACCTGTGTGTGTGTGTGTCTGTGAGGTTACCGGAGCCCCAATTATCCTCCCCAATCCCTGAATCCCAAACAATCCTCAAATTTCTAATCCCTAAAAGGCCGGTAACGCATTTGTAACACCTCTGGTGTTCCAGGTGTCCATGTGCGACGCCGATTGCTTACTATCAGGTGACCCATCTGCTCTTTTACCGACGTGAAGCAACGCTTGTGTTGTGTTTCGTCATGTGAGTGATCGTTATCGGAGGCTTAATTCCTCCCCCCCCCCACCTCTTCCCCAATCTCTCTAATCTCTGAGTCCCCAACAATCCTCAAACTCCGAATCCTCAAAAGGCCGGTTATGCACTGGTAACGCCTCTGGCGTTCCAGATGTCCATGGGCGACGCCGATCGCTTACCATTAGGTGATCCGTCTGCTCTTTTAACGGCTTCTTCCACAAAAAAACCTAGCATTTGCGACGTTAAGACAATCTATCATCTGTTTTTTCGCCAACCAAATCGCTGAACCTTAACTGCACTTCCTCCAAGCAGTCCTTAGACAAACAATGACATTTACACGACTGACGAGTCATTGTGTCGTGGCGGAGTCGTCGACCGTATCGCCCTTCCATCGTGACCGTTGACCTTGCATTGTGGGACCTTACAGTCGGGAAGTCAGGTGTGACGTGTAGACTAGTGGCGTAAGACTTGTTCCATATGAAATGAGCGAGTGAGTTAACTCTTTCAGTCACACTTTAACTGGTTTCGAATATATTTTATTCAATTATACTGAAATGCTTAAAAACCAATGCAAAGTAATTTGAAGCATACTTCAAAAATTGAATTTCTAAGAAAAGGTGGTTAGTTACAGTGACCACCAAGACTGAAAGAGTTAAGAAGATGTAGAAGATGTTTTTCAGTAACCAATCTCAATAAAATATCTACAAATTGATATTGGTATTCGAAGAGTTCCGTTCAATAAAAAGATCGATCCAGTAATTTTCAACTAGCATTGTCGTTGTTGTCAACTCAAATAAACTTTTCTCTTTTCTGTGTGGATATGAGCGTCAGATAGATTAGATATTACCTTTTTTTATGGCATAAGCCGGTAAACGAGCAGACGGATCACCTGATGGTAAGTAATCGGCGTCGCCTATGGCCACCTGGAACACCAGAGGCGTTACCGGTCTTTTGGGGATTAGGAGTTTGAGGAGCATTGGGGATTCAGGGGTTGGGGAGATTGGGGAAGGGGAAGGTAATTAGGCCTCCGGTAACCTCACTCACACGACGAAATACAACGCAAGCGTTGCTGCACGTCGGTTTTCTATGAGACCGTGGTATCACTCCGGTCGAGCCGTGCGAGCACGAGCGGCCCATTCGTGCCGAAGCATGGCTCTCCCACACTTAAAATTACCTATATTGGAATTCCCAAAAGAATTTTTATTTCCAATACATCTACTGGTAAGCGATTTGTTCTAGTGTTTATTCTCGAAATTGTAGGACAGATATTAGACTCTTCTATTTTTACCGACTTCATATGAAATTTTAATGATGTTACAACATTAATAAATATAGAATGGGTACCTACCAATCCTACTCCTATGACCTGGGCCCTCTTCTTGTAGGACCACGACCAATATTATGAATGTGAAAGTTTGCGTGTATGTTTGTAACTCAATCACATTAAAAAGACCAACGGAATTGGATCAGAGATAAATTATGGTTTGTAATAACAAATAGGGTACTTTTTAACCCACGATAACGGGCCAAACCGCGGGTAGAAGCCAGTTAATTATAAATACACACCTAACTGACTGTGTTACACTTAAGCAATACTATACAGATACAGACTAAAGTAAAGCATTCACATGCCTCAGCCCATTCACCATAATGGTACAGTCATCATAAAGTACTCACGGTTCGACGTCCTTACTCATTCACCGGTATATTACATTACAAGTTCAAGAATTGAACCTACCGCGACGTACAAAAGGTTAATAATCTAGTTTTTGTGGTCAACGTGGTACTTGTATGACCGAACGAGTAGTTACTGTGCAAATAGCTGGTGTAGAGGTACTATGAAGTTTATCATACATCATATAGATGATTGTCGTCGCGGAAAACCTAACGGGTTACCGGGGCTCCGGCTCGACGTGCAGGAGAAGGAACGGGGTGGGTTTTAGTCAGTAAGAGTCTGACACTCCCTCCCGCCTCACCCAGGCGGGAGCAGCCATTCGATGATTTTCCCCCCTTAAAAAAATAAATGATTGTCAGGCCACAACTTTGCACTTCTCTCGCAGTTTTCTGCCTCGCACAGCAAAACTATGAAATAATCTGTCGTCGGCGGTATTTCCGAACCAATAAGAACTTGGAACCTTCAAGAAAAGAACGTATTCCTTTCCAATCAGGTGATCCGTCTACTGTTTACCTCCGATTCCATAAAAAAAACTACTCTGGACACTATCACTCCTAACTCTATTTGAATTAAGTAATAAAGATACATCCTATATATCAGCTTCCTCTGTCAGTACTTAGATGGACATGCACATAATTATATTATTAAGTGTGACACCCCTTTTCGCCAGCAGCTGTAGCCAAATGCCATTTAGCGCTTGTCTACATGTAAAATAGAAAACCAAATTATATGGAATTGACGTAAATTTTGACACTTGTCAGTGTCATCCTCATACATTTAGTTTTCTACTCTCTCTGTAGACAAGCGCTAAAGTGGCGTTTGGCTAAAGGCCCAGTTCTGTTAGGAGTCCTTTCACCTTTGGTTAACATCCCATTTCTCATAACATTTAGCTACACTTATAAGTCCATAATATCTTTATCTTATCTCCCTTTCCCAGGCCACAACGAACAGAAAACTCCGTGAGACGGTGGCCCTGGAGCTGAGCTTCGTGAACTCCAATCTGCAACTCCTCAAGGAACAGCTGGCGGAGCTCAACTCTTCCGTGGAACTCTACCAGAGCGACAGGTAAGAGGTACCAAAGAGTATAATAAGTATAGAGAGGTACCCTGTAGTTTGACAGCTGTCAGATTTGACACCTGTTATAGGTGACATTTGGGTTAATTTTGAAACTTGTTAATTTTTTATTAAGCGTTGGTAAATTCATCATCAACAGCCTATAAATGCCCACTGCTGAGCAAAGCCTCTTCTCACACGGAGAAGGTTTGAGCATTAATCACCACGCTTGCTCAATGCGGGTTGGCGATTTTAAACTTATAATTAGAAATTATAAGTCCAGGTTTCCTCACGATGTTTTTCCTTCACCGTTTGTCAGTGGTGTCTAAATAATCTTAGAAAGTACACATAACTCGGAAAAAGTCACATTGGTACTTGCCGTTGGTAGGTTTCGAACCAGCACCTTCATGCATGAGAAGTGGGCGTCTTAAAAAAAAAGTTGTTTTAATATGTGTGTGTTAATGTTTTTAAATGGAAGATGTGCTTTTTCCAAAATAAGTAATACAAGGATTTAAGGATATACAATCTTCGTCAAATCAATTGCCAAAGAGAATTATCATGTTCCACCAACGTTCTTATAATAAGTAAATTAACCTAAGACTCGTAACTGAGACATTATATTTAATTACATTGCTTAACATTTACTTTCTTGCAATTTTAGCCTTGTGTCCGTATAAATGGTAGTAGCTTACCTTATATGTAAACTTAAAGTTAAATAATGTAATGTATTATAATTTGATATAATAATTGTATGAAGCAAGGCTTGCTGTAATATAATGTGTGTGCACTGGATCATTTATTTTGACTAATTGGACAAATAAATAATAATGTTTATGGAACATAGATAACGATCTGGATATCCTTGACAAGTTTGTAAATTCAATATTTATGTACAACTAGTAATATGACATCAAGCCGAAAATCAATCATGAGAAAATCCTGGTATGGAACGATTTTATAATGGCCTTTAACTTTTACATCTTAGGTATATGTAAACTTTGTCCTGACAACGTTTATAGAAAAAGAAGTATTTATCTAATTTGGTGCAGCCGTTCGCGAGGTATGCGCGTACATACAACATACATACTCACCTATATTTCTAAAATTCTTATTATAATTAAGTTTATACTAATGCCGAATACACAAATGACGAAACCAAAAACCCACACCCTAAAATCAGCCTAAAGGCGTTTACTACAGAGTATTTATTACGACAGCACTTTCACTGCGCCCTAGGACACCATTACCTTATAAAAACTAGTAATAATAATAAATAATAATATACTTATAGCTGTAATAATGTCAGATATATTTAATAATACTTGTCGAGTTATAGTAAAAGTCATAATGATGACCAGACTTCGTTACGCAATGTCGATGAATGTGATTTGCATAAAGAATGGGTTTGGTCACACTGTTAGCGATGTGGTGAGGCGAATCTGTTGTTGTTAATGTCATCTTTTTATGTTTGGAGATAGATGCCTGTTTTAATTTTACAATTATGACATTACTAACACGATATCTTGGTGTTTTTTTTATAAATTATGTTGAAAAGCGACTGAATTAGTTGATCCGCTTTCTCTGTTTAGTGTGCCCTATGTATCACCCTGACTGAATTAACTCGAATCGGGCTGATTCTTGCTAAAAAGGTTTACCACAATACATAACTACTATATGCTACGTGCCATCTACATACAATGTTGAGGTTAGGAACTTAGGCTAGTTTAAGACTTCCCGAGTGTTGCTAGCTGCCTGGCCCTGGTCCCCATCTAAACTGATGTTTGTATTCCAATAAAAGAAATAATAGGTCTTTACCTATGAAATATCCGCTCTGCAGTACTGGCAATTTCAATTCAAAATAATTTTTGTTTAGCTAAGAATTCTAATTTCAAATTACTTAATTTTCAAATCAACTACAAATCACAAATTAGCCCGGCAGATGGCGCTATTGGTCTTTCCTTTCATATTTTTTAATACCCTAATCGCTTGAAATATCATATGCAGGCCAACTTCTGTTGGGACCCAACAAGCTAGTATTGATATAAAACTATTTACGAAATGCCATTACCAAAAAAACACGTCCACACTCCACACCTACAAAGAACGCATGATGTTACATTATACAGCAAAGCCCATAAAACTATTACATGAACTGAAATTGCGCAAAATATATTATATTTATTACTTCTAGTATATTTAACCCTGACATTATTACAGGCTATTAAACAAAGCCGGCTAGTTTGAATGTCACTGTTTACTCATAGATTTTTATTACAAATATTTATTATAGACGGCTACATTTAAAGTTATACTTAACCATTTTATCATGGACTCGCGTTGTACGCTCTTTCCTCACAATCCACGGTCAGTTTATACTGGATTTGGTTAGCTTAATGTGTTGTGTGCACATTAATTTTATTTTATTTGCACGTTGCATAAAATGATAGCTTCAACTAGCCAAGGTGAAAAAGAATGGGTCTAGTGTTATATGTTTTGACGGAAGAGCGTAATAGGAGTTGATTGATGTTAGATAGGCATACTATGTTTATGTTAGGCAAATGTAGTATTACGGATTTGTAACATAACATTACATCACATACGTAACAATTAACAGAAGTATTTGTTTGCATTCCGAATTTTGTTAAAGAGATGTTAATGAATTGCGTAAAGATAAACATTTTTTATATACATAATTGTGTACCTATGAATCTTGTAATGAAATTCACAATTTTTTTAACGCTGTATGAATATTTATGTAAATTCTTCACGTGACGATAAAAGTTCACACCAAATAAACATTGCTAGACAGATACTTAATTTAAAAGCATTACCGCTAGCAGTGGCACCACAACCCAATCAATGATGAGATGACAAACAGGAAACCAGTGCGGTAACTCGGTCCAATTAATCAAAAGTCCAGTTTTTATGTTTTATTGCTAGATTTATATGGTACTAATTAAAATCTCTATCAAGAACTTGATATAAATACCATTACGTACGTACGACCATTTTAATTAGACACTTTTAAAATGTATAGATAATAAATGATCTAACTCATTAGCAACTAGACGTTTAATTGATAAAAAAGATAAAAAGTACCTAACTATGGTTATAGTCTATCTGTATTGAAATATTCGTGTATTAGGTACATCAAATAATGTAGATAACCATGTTTTTCGTATCCGCTACACAACTACAAAACAACTAAATCGATTTTGAGTTTTTTTTGATTATCTACCAACGAAGTCCAATTTTATTTTAAAACACGTAATGACAGTAGGAAATAGACAAATAAATCAAAATAAGCACTTATTTACTAACTCAGTTTTGTCATGTCAACAAAAATAAATGTTTTAGAAACGAAATTGGAACAGAATGCGATAAAATGCATTTTTATTTATTTATGCTGTTCCGATGACCGGAATTTTGCCGACTTTTCAATTTGCATATTGATGTAACGACGACAAGGACGTCGTCGATAGATATGTGTACATTTATAAAGGTTTTTATATTATTATGCGAACCAAATGTTAGAATTTGATGAATGATAAGTTATTGTGATTTTATGTAAGCGTTGAGTTAGGTTAGCTTAGCTGTTTATTGACATATCAAAAAAGGAGAAATGTCATTGAATAATTTCAAGCTTAGAAGCTAGATTGTGAAGATGATTATACTTTTCAAGCAAAAAGTAATCATTATGATGTCATGATTTTATTCGTAAAACTGAAACCATTTCTATTTTCTTTCGAAAACGAAGATGGCGGATTGGCGGCAAGAAAGAAACAATACTTACGAACTAACCACAGACTAAAAAGGACACTAAAAACAGGTTACACGCTATCATCATGCCATAACACTTAGTGGATGAGTAATAAAACGAATGAACCTTTAGAAGTGTAAAATTCTAGATAATCGTTGTTATTATATATAAAAAGTAAACGCAAGATAAAAGGTTGGACACAAAAACTGAATGGGCAGTGCTCGTAAGTACTAAGTACCTAATTGGAGGCAATGTGGTTACATGGAGACGCTACAGTGCGAAATTATTTATTTTTAGTTATTTTTTTTTTTATAAGATTAAACGAGCGTGAAACGAAATGTGTGTAATTTTGACACACATTTTTAGGTTCTAGTGTTTCTTAAGTGTCTTATTATTTTGGTGACAACTTAAACCGTAATAATTACTTGACTTAAATTAATATTATTTGATATTTTGTTTTAATCACAATAAATTACGCATGTCTGTCACACTCTTATTATAATTGATATGGGAAATAATTTCTATCGTAATCTTAATTAATTTCTTGCTGATTTAATTATAACAAAATATCGTTGCAATTCAATTACAACTCACCAATTAAACATAAAAGAGATTTAATAAAAAGACGGCTTCCGCTATTGTTTTATTTTCCCGCGCTCCGCCATATTGTAACCATAGACTAATAGAGAGGAATGCGCGCGCTAATCTACGTTCTTTTATGAGGTATGCGAACATTTTCTAGATTTCTGTGTACTTCGATGTAGTTACAATGATTAAATATGTTTATTTTATATTGTTGGCTTTCAAGGAATAGTATTTCTTTGCAATTATAGTATTTTTTTATTTTAATAATACTTTTGCCGGTTTGTCGGTAAAAGTAAGATTGTTATAATATTAAATGGGACCGTCGAACGTAAAATAAGCCAATGATTCAAGTGAAACAACTGTTAACTGCCGTGGGCAATAATTTTCTTCCAATAATAGTAATATTTAGAGCTAACGTATGATTACCTTCACTTACTCGCAAGAGTATGTTCCAGCTTTCTTTCTGAGTCTGTGAGATAATGGTTTGAATGCAATATTTTTATCAAGCGAGACTGCTATTACAATGACCGTTAAAACTATGACCCACACGTTATTTAAAAATTGTTCTGTAAAAGTTTTATTGACTAGCTTCTGTATTAAAGTTTATTGCTTGTTGTATATTGCTTAAATGTATATGGTTTAACTTGCATAATCATTGTTAATGTGAGAGCCCTGTAATTAACTAAATATTAAATTGGACTAGTAGAATGCATTTATGTCAGCTTGGAGTTGTCATGTTCACTCAAAGATCGAATTGGCGGTGGCACGTGCATTGGGTCGCTAGATTCCCTGCAATATGGTTGAGTTGGGCGGTGCTGGTGTACGTGTCATGTTCGTGAACGGGCGCCGTCAACTGTGACTGGTCAGCTCCAGACTGTATTATTTATTGTCTTTAAGGGTTATTTTCTTTTTCGATCTCTTTGGCTAGATTTGGTGTTACATTGTTCTCGCACAATCAAACCAATAAAACTGTGTAACTGAAGAATTGTATTGTGAAACTGATTGGAAAAGAGTAACCTATGGAGTTTCTTGCTCGTTCTTCTCCATAGGAATCTACACCTTGGAATGAGCAAATAGCTTCATTTTTAAATTTCTATTGCTGACGTTCATAAGTGCCTTCCTGGTCTAATTGAAATAAATGATTTTTGACTTTGACTTTTTTGACTTTTATAATGATTGTTGCTAAAACTTCCCACTATTGTCAACAGCGGTAAAGAATGCGTCATGCCGATGATCCCGTTGGGGCTCAAGGAGACGAAAGAGGTGGACTTCAGGGAGCCGTTCAAGGACTTCATACTGGAGCACTACAGTGAAGACGCGGCAGCCTATGAAGATGCTATCTCCGACTTCATGGATATGAGACAGGTGAGATTTGAGGACTTGTTTGTTCATGTAAGGGAAAGTTAGTGTGGACGATTGCGATTAGAAATGCGTCCTGTGCAAGTCATGTTGAATTATCAGATCGGACCAAAACAATTTGATAAGGGAACTTCACTAAAACTTCTTTATGCAGAAGAAACTTCTTGTTTACCACGTTTCTCAGCCACGGGTCTCCACAGTTACCTCTCGGGCGCTTCTGGTGCAGTCCAAGTGCAAAACATGAATATATTAATACAATATTTTTTTCTCATCGTGATTAAGTTGCATTTAATTAATTATTATAAAATAATTAATGTGTTCTATTTCTGTTATTAATCAAGCTGTTCATGTTATCCGCAGGCGATGCGCACCCCAGTCAGATCAAGTGCGGGCGTCGCTCTGCTGTTCAAGTACTACAACCAGCTGTATTTCATCGAGCGACGGTTTTTCCCGCCAGACCGCTCGCTTGGCGTCTACTTTGAGTGGTTCGATTCGTTAACAGGTATTTAATTAATATGCTTATTATATACTATATTATAGTAATGCTGTCTTGCAATGTTAAATTGAAAGTGAATTAACTGTTAGGCTTGGTTTAACGCCCTCTAGTTATTAAGTAAAAAACATTTCATTTGTAGCATCAATAGATGGCAGTATATAATAAATAGTTCATGGAATTCAAAACGAGATGGCGTTACTTGTATTCGTACTTAACCGTAAAAAATGTTTCTCTTTCATGAAAGAGAATAGGGATTTATTTTATTAATATGTTTTTCAAAGGATTTATGGGAAATACTTCATAATATTATTTTTTTCCAGGAGTCCCGTCATGCCAGCGAACAGTGGCTTTCGAGAAAGCTTGTGTCTTGTTCAACATAGCTGGCATCTATACTCAACTAGGAGCTAAACAGGTCAGACAATATTCAAAATATTCAAAATGTTTTATTACTTTGTATTATATTTTTGACTACGAAACCTTTATTGACATAATTTAATTTTGATTATTATTCCCAGGACCGCTCGACGTGCTCGGGTCTGGACGGTGGTGTGGAGGCATGGCTCCGTGCGGCGGGAGCACTGCGCTACGTGTTGGACAACTTCACCAACGCGCCCTCCGTCGACCTCGCCGCCGATACACTGCTTGTACTGGCTGCGCTCATGACGGTATGACCACCTTTATTTAGACTGTTTCTGTCCGGTTACTATTTAGTTAGAAATGTCTCCAAAGTTAACCGGATTCCCTAAGTATCAGCATTTATTTATGGTTCAGTTGCTGTCTGCCCTTACCAACTTATTTTTGTACGAAATTCGACGTTATAGATTCTAACTAGAGCAGTGAACGCCTTTTAGTTTGATCATGGGGATGGTAATAGTTGTATTTGTTTGCAGGCGCAAGCCCGCGAGTGCCTGTTCGAGAAGCTGCAGCTGCAGGCGCGCGAGGCGTGCCCCGAGGCGCGGCGCGCGCCCGACCTGTGCCTCGACCTCGCGCACGAGGCCGCGCACCTCGCGCACACATACCGCCAGCTCTACGACAAGGTGCGCCGCACTACTGCATACTGCTATAGCTTTATTGCAATACAACTCTACAGGAATTTAAAATCACGAATAACTATACATCATACTTCCTATTCTTCTATAAATATGTCTAACGTGTCATATTAACTTGTCAACAGATGCAATCAGAGGGTGTGTTCAACTATGTGCCATACTCGTGGGTCTCTTTAGTCCACGTTAAGACTGAGTTTTATAAAGGTGTGTACAACTTTACAATAAAAATAAAAATATTACAAACCTAGTCTTTAAAAACAATAGTGAGAACTTTGTTGTGTAATTCTATTACTTATGGCATTTATATATTCCAGCGTTGGCGCACCAGTACTGTGCGACAGGTCTACTGAACATGCCAGCATCGTCTCGCTCCCCCAGCCGCCTCGCATCGCTTTACGATGCTGATACAAATCTTGATAATGGTAAGTTGCAAAAAAGAAACCTTTTAAATTATTATTAAATGAAAAATATTATCTAATGAATAAAAGTTAACACATCCTATTTTGTGAATTCGATTAAAGGAAATGACATTTAATTTTCATTGTTAAATCTTTTATTTCTGGAAATAAGTAATTGTATTTTGTTCTAATCATAATAAACCACAATTATGACTATTTCAGGCTCTTCTATATCTCCGACGCTGAAGGACGCTGATGTGGATTGGATTGCATTAGGCCGCGCTCATCTTGCAGAAGCACTCACTTTGTACGAAGAAGCCCTCAGGCTACAAAGGATGTGTCGGTAAGTTATGTCTAATAAGCATATTAAGTTTTGTCAAAAGTAATAAAGCAACTCAGTGCATTTTGTTATACATACTATACAACATTACTGACCAACGGCGAAGTTGCTATCTCAGCTATATCATTGAACTTCACAACTCATAATCTTTATGCGATTTCTAGGTGCTATAGGATAGATTTAATAGGTAGATAATAAAATTGTGTTGTTTCCCTTAGTGAGTTACGTGGCAAGGAGGCAATCTCCTTAGTAGTACGAGCGCAGTTAGAGCGCGCCGCGCGAGAGCGTGCAGGGGGCGCGCACAACGACAATGATGCCAACGACTTCACAGACCTCATCGACGCGCCCAACGTACAGCGTGAGTTTCTATAACTTACTATGAGTGTGCCTCAACGATCACTTAAGCTTAATAATCTAATTACCTGATAAAAATAGTACCATTCGTATAATAATCAACTTTTTTATCCACAGCATCATCGAAATTCCAACTGGCCCTAACGCAACCAGACTTCGCTCAGCACCGAGTAGATGATCTATTCAAATCTTTGGGTCCAATAGCCATATTCTCCGCCAAACGTCACTGGAGCGCCCCACGCCTCGTCCAACTACAAAAATATCGAGATGGCTCCCGACGCATAGAAAGACCACGAAATGGAAACACTGAAGAATATGAAGAAACAGAAACGGCAAACACAGGAGCGAGAAACGAGACAGATCGGAAGATAACAGCACTTATTATAACCAAATAATTAGAAGCGATGAGAAATATTCTAATGAGTATGAAAAGAAGAAACTGCACAGGGTCACAAAACAGAATGGAGTGTATATAAATAGTTACAACAATAATAATTATGAATATCATCCAAAAGTTTTGGACTATGATACACAGAATGAATATAAGACTAAGGAAGGAAAGCTTGAGAATGGAGTGAAAGAATGTAATGGTAAAGTGAAGAATGGAAGGCGAAAGGATCTGTTGAGAAGGCAGCGAGTGAATACAACGTGTCGAACGCGAAAAACGAAGATGAAGGCTTTGGATTCTCTGTGAGAGGAGACGCGCCTGTTGTTATAGCTGGAGTCGAGCCCAATTCTTTGGCTGATGTAAGTGTTTCTAAACTTTAGACCACCTAAAATGTCATATAATCTAATATAGAAATAATTGAACTGCTTATCAGAATACACTCAACAGCAGAATACTGAAATAAGCATTATGTACCTACAAAAACTAAGTAAAATTTACCATTGTTATTTCCAGATTGGTGGTATGCGTGAAGGAGACTTTATAATATCAATTGGCGATACTGATGTGAAATGGAGCTCTCATGATGAAGTGGTCAGACTTATACAGGAGGCAGGAGATACGCTCACTATGAAGCTGGCTACACCGATGGATAAGAGCTGTCTTAAGGTATGTTAAGAACTGCTTGTTTTGAATACACTACGTAAGCTACTGAAAATCTGAACTTTAATACTTACTATAATCTATTTTTTATTTTAGAAAAGTAGTAATTACTGTTTAACGCATCAAAACGACACCATATTCCGTCGAACTTAGCAATGCGATAATTAGCAATGCTGATGATAAAAATGTTTAGAAATATCGATAACAATTTTATATTTACCAAAATGGTACATGATCGTCTTCTAATTTCCAGGCATCACCAGAAACTCCACGACAGTCGAACTCAAACCAAGGCTCGGTGTCTGCAGCATCAACGGCGTCGAGTGGTTCCACAGCGTGACTGCAAGATCTTCAGCACGTCGCGCGCCATCTTGGAACCCATTCCGACGTCACACCACCAGGGACAACAGCTCGCATCGCGGTTCACACACCAGCAATATTATTTTCAGATAAAAACATCAACCGCCATCTATGAATGTTTTCCTGTATTATTGTGCGGTGTCTTATACTTACGCCATCTTTTGGATGTTTTGCAAAAATATTGCTGAATAATAAATTAATTTTATTTAGAAATATGTACTTAAAACAAAGAAATAACTTCTGGTTTAAGCTGGTCAAAAATCAAGTAAAAGTAATATTTAATGAACGATGTTGACCATCAAGTCACAAAATATCAAAGGTTTATCTTTAATGTCAATCAGTAACGCCATCTGTATTTATTAAGACGAAAACGATTTTGTTAATAAGTAAATTAAGTTTTAATACCACGCCATCTGTTATCAATCGTCTGTACTACTTTATAGATCTTAGCGTGTTTGAGGAGATTTATTTAAGTTTGGGCGCGGCAACATTTGCTACTATTATATTTAGGTTCCTAAATAAATAGTTAGGTATGGGAACTTTATATCGGCTATGAAACTCCAAAGTATTTTTGTATAAGTATCAACTTGGTAAATTAAAATATCTGTTTTATTTATAAATTTTAATCAAGTTTATTAAGGTTTTAATAACGATCTATGAATCTAGTACCTATATAATATGTATATTTATAGTTCTCCAGCGATTTTTTATACGTTTTGCCTGTCTATTTATTACTTATTTCTTTCTTGTTTAATTATTTTCCTTCACAAAAAATTGTGTTATATTTCTTATTACATTTTGTATGTAGTTTTTCTACGTCCTTGTATTGATTGACGCCTGTATACATTTCCGTCCTCGAATGTCTTTGTAATATTGTGAAAAAATATATATTTTACAGAAAAAAAAGAAAAAACTAATTATAAATATTATTATAATATTTTATCCATTGCAACACAGTCCCTAAATAACTGTCACATCTTTAGATCACAAAAAGACGTGCGCAGTTGTATAAAAAACGTCGACATTTTGAACAAAAACGACTTCTTTTCTCCTTCTAAAATCGATTATTTTAAAATGGTACTTACATATTGTTGATAAAGTTTCAATTTGAAATTGAAAAGTAATCAACTACGGAATTTCGTCGACAGGTTGACTGGTAATGTAGTTCGGGTGGCAATAGTTTGCTGGGACCCCAACGTAACCAGGGACCCAACCGGCTTGACTGTAGATCACAAGTCAAATGTCAAAGAATTTAATTATATTGCTTCTACTACATCTAGTATGTCGGGGGCCCCTGAACCGTTGTCCACCCGGGCCCCTTCAACCAAGTCCGACTCTGTCGACAGTACCTAATGCCTACTGTTTTCTTAAACCGGCGGCTGATTGTAAAATTATAATGAAATTAACATATAACATTATGTATATTGAATAAACTAGTAAATATGCGTCACAATTTAATTTAGCTATACGTGTAATTACAGTATTTTAGTTTATATATAAACAATGAAATAAAAATCTAATTAATATATTAACTTGTAACATTTTGGATGTGATCGATTTTAAAGTATTTAATTTGATTTTCTACTAACATTGATCGCGTCCAAAAAATAAAATTTTAGATTGATTGTAACAATTTAAAATTTTAATTTGATTTCGCTTTAGATATTTTGTATATTGTAGATTTAAACGTGTATATCAACTGTATAATACTTGTATAAGGTAAAATGTATAAAATTGTTGTGGTTACTTTTGAACAATAAAGGTTTATTTAAAGGCAAGTCTTATTTATTTATTTACACTTCTGTATACACATACAATCGCGATATAATTTTTTATGTTCATGGGCCCCAGTAGCATGGTAGGGCACAGTTATCGTAAGTCAGACTCACTTAAAAAAGCACTTTTTAGAATGTCCGAAATATAATAAGAAAATAACAAAATCACAAAACCCACGTGTGTCCGCCACGAGGTCCAAAGTAAATGTGTCATTATAATAAATGAAATAAAACGTGTATTTATTTTCATTTTTTGACACTTTATTGTACACCATAAAACACACAAAGAAAAATAAACATAAAAAGAATGTGTACATAGGGCGGTCTTATCGCAGAATGCAATTTCTTACAGACAACCTTTGGATATAGCCAGTAATCAGGAGTTGGAAAAAAATTAATGTAATGTTAGGTAAACATGACGCAACGGGGATGCGGTGTCAGCGGTTTTATTTCATATGTTAGGGCGATAATAACTTATAATAGTACATAACAAGAAAAAAATTTTAGGTACAAAAATGTTAATTCTGTACTGAGTTTGAGCGAGACTCCTCAAAAATCTTGCATTATGTCGAAAACTAAGAAATTGTCACCAGGGGTAGAATGAGCCCATTTATAAAATACTGTAACTGATAATCTCAACAGAAAATAATCCTCAATATTGTGTACGTCGTGATAATTATTTAGGTCGTATGACACGAAACTTATCGAGGTACGAATGTTGGAAATCTAATGACGAAACTTCGACCCAAATTGGATATAACCGGCTAATACTATACACTTAAAGCTCAAGATCCTACATAAACTTTATTTGTTTGTTACATAACTGTTCTGTTACTGCACTACTTGACAGAAACCGTGGTTCATTTGTGTATTAAACTATTTCAGTAACATTCCTGTTCATAAGAATGCGAGACACGTTGACAGGGGCGTAGCTAGCGCCGTATCAATTATACGGGGCCCCCGGACTACAGGGCCCCCAACGTGCCTAAGCAAAAATTAATAAAAACTTTCCAATTTTTATTATATTTCAGTAATCGCAAAAGTCAAAATAAACGTTTTTTTTTCACGTAAAGCATGCATTCAAAGGTTGGCAGAAACTTAAGAAAAATAAAAGTTATTAAGGTCCGCTAATTAGGGCGAAATTGCCTAAAAAGATTTTTGGTTTTCACACAAATTATAAGAATTTTGTGTAAAAAAATGTCTTGTGAGTAATGTTTAGGTACCGTTCAAGGGCCCCTTAATAATTCTTTATACGGGGCCCCCAAGTGACGCTACGCCACTGCGCGTTGACGAGAAACGCGAAACGCTTTGGTTGCGGGTGCGATTCTCGCACGGTACTACTTTTTGTGGAATTCAAAAATGGTTATTCTGGGTCTATGAGCAATGCGTGTTACGTATCGGTGCCGACACATGTACTTACGCCGTGATCAACGCCGAGTTTCGAGGTTCAGATCTGCTGAACCAGGACATTACACCTACTTTGATGCAAGGAAGGTTCTACGGAGTATTGCAACTTCCAAACTGCTGAGTCGTCTCTTGTCGTCGCCTTGTGCCCAGCTGCGAATCGCTGCATCATCAATCACCCCACTAGATTTAACCGCAATAGGTTTTATTGAAAACCTAATGAAATAATTTTAAGATAAGAAAGTCTTTCCAACATCGAACTCATTCGCTCTTAGGTTAGTTAGATTAGAGTTACCATGTAATTATAATAAACTTAGTAAAATGATTATAGTTTCCATTTGCACCCTCCGTCGGTGGCAGAAATATAACTTGTGTAATGTGCATTTGAATTTGTTTGTTTATAAACACAATCAGGACACAGGATAATTAGTGTGGGCCAAGAAAGAAACACAAAACTTAAATGCCAACATTTTATTTAAAACATCACAGAACTATCTATTTACATAACAAATTCAACCACAATAAATATACATATTGTATATCAAATACACAACTATCTACTATTCGATTTTACAACCATATACTACCAACGAAAGTAATTATATGAGGTATAATATAAATTAAGAGCTAATAACCCAAATTAAAAAACAAGAACTAAAATACTTACATTTCGAAAAAAATTAATATAACATTATTAGTCAAAATAACATTTATTTGGTCATTTATACTGAGGCCATATTAATAGTACGACGCTCTGATTGATCGGCTCCATTGAACTAATTAGAACACCGAACCCGGTCTCGTTTCGATTACTTTAAATGTAAAACTTGTACTAAGCCCTTTGGTCGTATAGAATATAACTTATAACTCAACACGCCATAAACACTGTCAATTTATTTAAAAAAAATGCATCCAAACTTACAATGATATAAAAAATCTCATACAAACGACTCATTTCAGAATTATTATACAGACAAGTCTTAGAATAAAATAAGCACCATAATTGTACTTCAACATATTTTACAATGCATTACCAATAGGTATGCACCCTTGGAAAAAGAAGATATATCATGTATTGGCAGACCTCAAAAGTACGGATACGAGCGGGAAGGAATTATAAATAAACCTACATTATTTTGTGTACACCAAAATGTCGTGGTGGCCCGGAGGTTTAAGACGCCCACTTCTCATGCATGAGGGTGCGGGTTCGAAACCTACCAACGGCAAGTACCAATGTGACTTTTTCCGAGTTATATGTACTTTCTAAGATTATTTAGACACCACTGACAAACGGTGAAGGAAAAACATCGTGAGGAAACCTGGACTTATAATTTCTAATTATAAGTTTGAAATCGCCAATCCGCATTGAGCAAGCGTGGTGATTAATGCTCTAACCTTCTCCGTGTGAGAAGAGGCTTTGCTCAGCAGTGGGCATTTATAGGCTGTTGATGATGACATTATTTTTACGACTAGTTCGTCCGGTCTGTCCGTGTCGAATTTCATCAAAATTGTCTTGGTATATTTTGACGTCAAAAACTCCTCTTTCTTCCCCATTTGAATAGTCACTTTGTTTCCCATGTTACAAAACCACTTTATGCTTGCAGCGAGCCACAATAAAATTTACGAAATTAACACCAAATGCTATCTCCCTTCGAAATATTTTTCACAATATTTCTTCACGTCTTCATATACTCCGAAGAACACGAAGCCTCCGATCATGATAGCTGTCATTCTGGGCATGGCTCCAGCGAAGAGACCTTTGAACCCTGATTCTATGTAAATGGAAGTCAGCACGGGTCTAATCTTCATCTTCCCTGAGACCCTATACCCGTCTGATAACATGATACGGGTTTTGGCGAGGTCTAAAGGCGTTGTTAGGACCGCTGCGAAACCGCTGCTATTGACCCGCAGATTGCACTCTATAAATAAAATGTTTGCATAAGAGTTTGTATAACGTTACTTTGTGTAATGGTAACACCTGAATACTGAAAGGTTACTCTTTAAGTCGCGTTTAAGGCTAGTTCTGTCACTACAAATTGTTTGTAAAATGACAGAGATGGCACGATATTTAAGTACAACCTAAATTTAAGTATCCTTTCAGTATTCGGGCATAAGTTTTCCTTGTGCTTAATAGGAGACGGACTTTTGGCGAAATACTTTATTAATAATGGGCCAACCTCATTTAAAATTTTTAATTACAAACTGTAATAGCAACATGCCACTATGTAACGCACTTGTAATCCATCAAAGAGTCAAGAACTTTTTTTTTATTTAAAGCCTGACGTTTTCTTAACAGTAAATAACCAACTTTTTGTCATTATTATCAAAAGATATAATTACGTACGGAACTTTGTAAATGTACATAAATTTGACAATAACTAACCTGAAAACTGCTAATCTCGCCGTTATTATATTTCCTAACAGTTGTCTTCAGCATCTCCCAGGCTGGCAGCTCAATGAAGCTGAAGGGCAGGTCCCGCAGTACAGTGGAGCCGAAACCTCGATACACGCCGCGAAAGAAACCTTCAGTCCTGTATGCCTGGAATAGAAGAATAGAACATTATAGTTATCGTTCTCTGTAGAGATGCTCAATGCCAACCCGCATTAAGCAAGCGTGGTGCTCAAACCTTCTCCTTGTGAGAAGAGGCTTTGCTCAGCAGTGGGCACTTATAGGCTGTTGACATACAGGGATGTTATTAAATGAATCACGACCTGAATGGTGACTAATACATTCAGTGTTTGATATCACTAATAAATAATTATAAACCATGCAAAAATAGAAGAATCAAAGTCAAAGTCAAGGAAGGCACTTTTGAAAGTCAACAAAAAAATTAAAAAGTGAAGCTATTTGCTCATTAAAACTTTAAAAGGTGTAGTATTCAACTTTCAAAATACTACAATCTTCTCACAAACTCGACATTCTCTGACATAAATAGCGAAGTAATCAGTCAAAAACAATAAAAATAAGTATATACTCACATGTAACAGTATGGATATACTACTCTTGGAGTTAGTGCCGACGTATGTTTGTTTCCTCTGTTTCGCTATCTCTGTGGGGACACGTATTAGACACGCCAGCTAGAATAAAATTAAAAAAATATATAAATAAAAGTAATAAGCCACGTGGCAACACCGCCTGCACATTTCTCGTTGGTAAAAGCCTTTTTTTAAGGGGGGAAAATCATCGAATGACTGCTCCCGCCTGGGTGAGGCGGGAGGGAGTGTTAAACTCTCACTGTCTAAAAACCACCCCGTTCCTTCTCCTGCACTTCGAGCCGGAGCCCCGGCAACCCGCTAGGTTCTCCGCGACGTTGGTAAAAGCCTACACATTTGATAGAGATCCGGTAGCAATGCTTTTTGATAAATATAAAAATTTTGTACTACGATCTTCATACTAGCTGCCGAGTGTTGAAAATAAGTGCATAGCCTTCTACGTAGAAGAGGCACCAAGATCAGCAACTCATTACGAAGACTCGGAGAAAAAATCTAATAATATTACTTGCTAGATATAAGCTTATTCGCTTACTTTGTCACGGTTGCTTTGTAAACGAAAGTTATTTACATAAAAGAACTAAACGAATTAGCATTTAAATGGTGTAAGAAAAATTTCCACTGATCATATGCGTCTCCCATGGTGTTAATGAGGTATACAATTACCAAAAAATATTTAATTATGGTAAAATCTACCGGTCGGTTATAAAATTACGAACTGACATTGTCGAGACGGAAACTAAACTCCGTGAGAAATCAAGGTTTCTAAGTATTATAATACAAATAAAATTTATTAGTAGGTGCAATGTACCTACAGATAATTTAGCCCGACTAGACAGAGATCAAGACATTCAGAGTTCAGACATAATTACTTAAGTACCTAATATGATTTCAGTATAATTAATTAGCACATACAGTATGCTAATTTGTACATTGAATGTGCTAAGCAACTGAACACATAAGACAATGATCAATCATTGTGGACAGTACTAGTCATCATGTCACGTGAGAACAGGAACTTATTTGCAAGTCATCTTGCCGAAAAAAAAATTAGAATTCTCTGGATCGATCCTGATTTTTGATAGAAATTGGTTAGAAAAAATACAAAATTGATATTTTTTGAGACTTAAAATTAAGATTTTGGATAGAAATCGGTTATTGTAATTTACTATTAACCCCTTCGCACATGAAGCTTTGACAAGTAACGTAAAGCGTATTATGCCACCCGGGCCCCTGCGCCCAAGTCCGGCCCTGATTAGTCGGATTAATTTTAACCTAACTTTTACTATAATGGTACCTATATAACCCTGATAATCGCACAAGAACATTTTTTTATTGAGTGAACAAACAACACAACATAACATCACACCTTTTATCCCTGAAGGAGTAGGCAGACGCGCACATTATACCACTCTACAATGTAACACCCACTTTTCCCTATTTATGTGCAATAGGAGGTGAGCTTATACCGGGCACAATTCCAGACTCCATGCTAATACTGAAAAATTTTTAAAAACCTAGTAATACCTTGCCCGACCCGGGAATTGAACCCGAGACGCCTTATCGGCAATCGCACTTGCGATCACTCAGCCAACGAGCCAGTCAAAACATAATTAAAATACAATAATTTAACTCACCACTTCACCAACACTGGCTGCGAACATGTGTACCATGGGAGTATACTGCGCGGCCACCAAGGGCTGACAGAGAGTCTTCGTAGCTTCATACGAGACAAAGAATAGTGCTGTTGTGGGCATAGACGTCGCAGCTACGGTTGCCAGACCTGAAATAATGTGTGAATTTTAAGATAGTAGTACAGTTAGAACAAACTTGGGCTTACAAATAATTTCTAATTACTCATTTCAAATTGTAAACCCTTTTTGACCAGAAGTGGTGATTAATGCTCAAATCTTCTGTGTGAGAAGAGGCCTTAGTTCTGCAGTGGGCATATATACATTTTCATCAATTTATTATTCTTGGATTTAATCAGCCTTTACATCAATAACAAAAATAAAAATAAATGTTTGTCCGTCATTTAATTTTTCAGATATTTCATGTTCACTTTTCAGCATTTACATTTCATTAAATATATAGTTACATGCATGTGAATTTTATACATGAACTGAATTATAATGTAAATTAATTATTATTATAAATTAATTAAATTAATTATTATTAGTTCATTATTCAATTGCATTTTGCAATTTACTTTACTTAAAATCTTTAGCTCGCTTTTAAATAATATTTTATGACTATTTCTTATTAAATATAATTTTATTATTGAATTTCATCATCTATTATAATAATGATATGACCATGCAACAGGTGCAATATATTGTGTAAGAAATATTAATGTCTTACTGCAATTACTAACTTCTAGAAACAAAGAATGGGAATTTTCCCACAGATATATATAATGGATTAATTTATAACTTTTTAATACAGCATTTTATAGATATGAATTGTAACAAACCTCTATAAACACCACTGAAGCCGCCAGCTTTTTGGAAGCCCTGAGCACTTTGCAGCCGTGTCTTTAATGTATCTAAAGGGTACAGGGTCACATCTACAGACACACCAGCCACAGCCCCCGCCTAAAACAATCATTTATTAATTTTACACACTCTAAATAAAAATATTAAACTGATTCAACTGTCAAAAGTTTCCATACTAACCAATAATGGTGGAAAATGCGTAGCTTTAAACGATTTCGGTTTACTCTTCTGCTCCATATTAACAATTTAATTTAAAACTAATAAGAAATGTAAAGTTATGTAAATTTATCATGAAATAACCTCAAAATGTAAGTTCACGAAAACAAACAAGTCATTTAGAGCAATTATGTTGATTTATTACTCGGATTATTGTTATCACTTCGAACAATGTGTGAGAACATTTTCGTCGAGGATAATAAATTGTGGCATTTTTGTGAAATTAATTATTTTATTTCAAATTCCCGGGTTCTACGAAGCACTGTCACGCTCATTCTGTCTGATTCTGTGATCTGTCATATTTATTTTTGACATCTGTCTAAAGACGTTTATCAAGTGACAGCTAAAAATTACCATAAATGAAAATTGTTTGTGGTCTACTCAGCCTTACTTTTTGGAAAAATAAATAATTACGATATGAAAATGTATTTTTATTTCAACTTTGTTAAATCCTATAAACTCGCTATTTAAAAATACAAATAGAATATAAAAGAAGTAATACTACAATGAAACAATCCTCATTGATCATCGATCACACTTCACATCGCAACAAACAACCAAAAATCTGTTGCGAAGCAACGAATCAAAAGAATTGAAATTCCTTCGTAAATAAACGTTTGCGTACTATTTAATTTAATTTTCTATTATTTTACAATGCCTAAAGTTTATAAGAGCCTGCACGAGGGCATACCGTACCATACTGTCCAATACGGCGAAGAACCTGGGTGCTATCAATTGCATAGGTAAATTATTTAACTTTATCCCTTGAGGGGTAAGCAGAGGCCACAACACCTTTTTATCAGAATGTTATATACCTAATTTCATTTTGAAAAGTTGCAACAACAGTTGCTATGATTTAAATATTAGCCCCGTTCCTCAATTGATTGCCCTACTCATAACACAATACGTTTCCATCATCAGGCCATCGCAATGTCGGCTCAAGTTCCCGATCACCAAGCGGCCGATTCACAAATGCGAGGATATGGACAAGGAGATCATTATGGTGCCGCAAACAGGCACCTTTAGAAAACTGATTATCCCAAAGAAGAAGCCCAACTTTTACCCCGCCATCATGCACAAAAACGAGTATGACAGGTTGAGGAAACAAGCCAAGGTGATAATTCTATCTACCTAAGTAATATGTATTACGGTACTACATAAAGCATTACAAAATATAGCTTATTTTTTCCAAAAATATAAAGGTTATATTATCCACATAATTTTCGTCAGTTCTAAACACCTGATATTAAATTAGCGAATCATCGTCCACTGAGAATTCCGGAGTTGGAAAACCGAGTTAGGTATTTCTAGTTTTTTTTCTCGCCTGTTGGTAAGCGATGTTGTGGCCAACGATAGAGCACGCTTACCTATGAGCAACCGGTTCAATTGGGACTTGAAGACGCCACTCTATTAAATATGTAAAAAATTGAGAACAAGCCATCGTAATTTATCTTTTTAGATCGTTTCCCAAGAGGAACAGTTAAAAGCCATGCACGCTCAAGAGGCTGCCATACAAAAAGCCGCGAAGGAATCTGAGGCCAGGAAACGGCAACTGAAGAAAAACCTCAAGCCACAACCAGGGGCTGAAGCTGCTACCGGCACTGCAGACCCCGAGCTTGAAGGACCAGATCAGGCTGCTCATACCTTGTCCAGAGCTGAGAGTAAGGGCTATCAATAAAACAAAATATTCTATAAGTTAGATGTGAGGTCTTGCTTGATTACCGAAGTTAATATTTTTTATTAGCTACTCTCGCGCGGTTTCACACGCTCCGCTCAGCTCCTATTGGTCGTAGCGTGATGTTTTATGGCCTATAGCCATCCTCGATAAATGCGCTATCCAACACAAAGAGAAATATTCAAATCAGACATGTAGTTACGGAAATTAGCGCGTTCAAACAAACAAACAAAAAACAAACTCTTCCGCTTTATATAATAGTATAATAATAGTATAAGAAGTAGAAGATATAAGATTATTAATTTGTTACCCAGTGCTGCGAGCTGACAATATGCAGGGTCCTCGTCTCTGCAACCGCATCATCCTCGCCTCCAAGTGTCATGCCATCAGAGATGCACAGATCACTGAGAAAGAACTCATCAAGAAAGAACTCGATGATGAACAAAGAAGGTAGGAATTTTGAAGACCTCGTCATCATCATCATCGATATCAACACACCCGTCTGTTGACAGGCCGGTCTTTGCAAAATGTAGTTCCTTAATCTGCTTTACATTTGTTGGACGGTAATGCACTGGTGCTGACAATTTAACTAGTGCAAACGCCACCTACTTAGGTAGGTACTATGACTCTTGCATACTTTTTTCATTAGATTGGACGCTATAATGGAAGAGAACCGTCAAAGCGCTGTAAACAGAGAGCAAGAGGAAGAAGACCGTCGTCATCGACTGCGGCTGCAGAACCTCTCCGCACTCAAAGAGCAGATCCAAGCACATGAAACCGCCAAGGTAATTTAAAACAGCCAAAGCAGATACACCACATTTTTATTTCAAAAACGCCCTAGCCTGGTAACTCCTTATCGCGGAGAACCTAACGGGGCTCCGGCTCGACGTGCAGGAAAAGGAAGGAAGGGATGGTTTTTAATCAGTAAGAGTCTGACACTCCCTCCCGCCTCACCCAGACGGGAGCAGTCATTCGATAATTTTCCCCACTTAAAAAAATCCTGGTAACTCCTTATCTAAGAAATATTTATTTCTTTTCATATTCTACAGATAATGGAAGCTGAACGTATAGAAGAGGAGAGTATTCGAGTGAACCAGGCCAACATCGCGATGCAAATAGACGAGGCCCAAAAGCTGAAGGAGAAACAACACAGGCAGAATAAATTGAAAGAAATGCTCGATCAGGGTAACTTAATCATACGAGTTTTGCGCTGATGTTTATTTACCTTATTTTGAACCGTATAGTGATAGACGTAGGGTTTAGCCTCATTGTAGAAATTTCCATTTCTAAAATTCTGGAAGATTATCATACTATACTTCTCAGGCAACGCGGAGCTGCTCTACTACAAACAGCTTCAAAATGAAGAAGAACGAATCATGGACTTGCGAATTGCAAACTTCCTAAAACAGAAACAAGATCGCGAATCCAAGAACAAGGCAGAAGCCGAGGCCGTCAAAGCGGCTAAACAAAAGGGCATTGATCATATCTCAAAGGCTCAGAAGGTAAGCCCTGAAAGTTTGAACTCTCGAGTTTTTTATTGGTTTTGAAACTTCTACTTTTGTGATTAAGTTGGAAATCGTATTGTCATAGATGTAGTGCCCTATATTCTTATTTTCATCAGGCTGAACAAGAGCTGAAGGAGGAATTGGAACGCATTCGCAACTTGAAGATACAGGAGGACGTGGAGCGAGAGTACCGACGCAAAGAGAGGGACGCGGCCATCAAGAGGAACAAGGAGATGAAGCAGCTACATGAAGCTAGGGTGCAACAGGTAAACAAACCTTACCATATGCACTTTTTACTGGATATGGGACAAACAGACGGATCATCTGAATGATCACCGCCATGGATACTCGCCATTCCAAAGGAGCTATAACTTCAAAATAGTATCGATCGAGTCGAGAGCCTAGAAGAAGAAAGAAGGAAGAAAAACTACTTCAATGGACTGTTAAAACTGCGTACCTTTGATCTGTTGTTGAAAATGAGACGTTTTATGACAATGAGAATTTATTTAGTTACTTTTAGTTTAGTTTTGATATTGAAATCTTTTTTTTTTTTTTTTTTGTATGTTTATTTGCAATCGGTCTCTTGACCATGAGCAAATTTTTGGACGTCATTTCACTTGTAGACGAATCTCTCCATTAAGAGATCAGTCTCTTATTTCGAGGCCAGCCTAGGAGTTTGGGTAGCCAAGTTCCATGAAGTCTCGTCTTTTCAGCCGCTTTGTGTACGCAGGCATAGTGAGTTGGGTTGCCAGTTCATTGGGGTGTTTTTTCAGCCGTGATGCATATCTACTAGCATGTAGCTTAACTTCTTCCATGACTGTATTAATTTGGTGGATTTCATGCACTTCATCATTGCGTATGAACCATGGTGCATTGGTTAAATGTTTCAATATGGTGTTCTGTAATCTTTGTATAATGTTGATGTTCGATCTGCAGGCCACACCCCACAGTTGGATACCATAGGTCCAGATAGGCTTTAGGATGGTTTTGTATATGAGAAGTTTGTTGTCCACTGAGAGTTTTGAGTTGCGTCCCAGAAGCCAATAGAGGCTGCTGTATTTTAGTTTTAGTTGCTGTCTCTTCGCTTGCAGGTGTTTTTTCCAGGTTAACCTTCTATCCAAATGTAGGCCTAGGTATTTGACAGAGTCGCTTTGTGGTAGGAATTCGCCATCGAGTTTTACTGGGGGGCATTCTTCCCTTCTAAGAGTAAAAGTGACTTGGACTGATTTAGTTGAGCTTGATTTAATTCTCCACTTTTTTAACCATTCATCTACTGCGTCGAGGCTTTCTTGAAGTTTTTGTGTGGCTACAACGGGGTTGTTACTGACCGCCAATATTGCCGTGTCGTCTGCATAGGTTGCGGTTGTTACATTTTGCATTTGGGGCAGGTCTGAGGTATAGATGTTATATAGGACAGGTCCGAGCACTGAGCCCTGTGGAACTCCCGCTGATATGTCGTTAAGAGTCGACACAGAGTCGCCTTCAATAACTTGGAAGGTTCTCTCTGTCAGGTATGAGTCTAGAATTCCGTAAAATGGGTGTGGCAGGCATTTTTTTACTTTGCATAATAGGCCTTTGTGCCATACTCTATCGAAAGCCTGTTGCACATCTAGAAAGACAGATGAGCAGTATTGCTTTCTTTCTAGAGCACCTCTAATAGTATCGCAAACTCTGTGTACTTGTTCCACGGTGCCATGTTGCTGCCTGAATCCAAATTGGTGTTTGGGTATAATCGACTTTTCTTTTAGGATTGGTGTGATACGGTTTAGTAGAAGCCTTTCGAAGACTTTTGATGCGATTGGCAACAGACTGATTGGTCGATATGAGGACACCTCATGGACTGGTTTACCTGCTTTGTGTATCATAATTATAGATGATACTTTCCATAGGAATGGGAAATAACCGACTCTTAGAATGGCGTTGAAGATTATGGTTTGGTAGACTATGGCTTTTCTTGGTAGGTTATTTATGACCTCTTTGGTGATTAAGTCAAAGCCCGGTGCTTTCTTGTCTTTCATCTGCTTTATCTGTTGCTTTACCTCTCTTGGGCTGACTGGTTTGATGGGCAAATCCATTTGGAAGTCTTCGTTTGTGACTTGCATGATGTCGTTCTCGTCAGTGTCGCTGTTTCTTTTATTTGGCGTAAACACTGATTTCAGGTGACTAGCAAACAAGTCTGCTTTCTCTTTACTTGTTTTTGCCCAGTTTCCAATTCTATTTTTGAGAGGGGGTTTGCATTGTTGGGGTTGGTCCATGTTTCTGGTAATTTTCCAGAGAGAATAATTGGTTGCCATTGTGGGGGTCAGTGCTTCCAGTTTAGTTTGCATAGTTTTGTCTTCAGTTTCTTTGATCAACTCTTTTAGTGCTGTTGCTGCTTTGTGGTATGCAGTTTTGTCTGATCTTACTCTGCTAATTTGCCATATACGTCGGAGTCTACGTTTCTCTATTATTTTGTTGCGAATATCCCACGATAACGTTTTATTGCCCGAGATTTGTAGCGATATTTCTGGTGTGCAGTCCCAACAAGATCTTTGTATCACTTCTGTGAAGGTTTTAACGGCGTCGTCTATGTTTGATGGGGTTTTTAGGGGAATTTTTAGGTCAAGGCGTTGGTCAACCAGTTCTCGAAATGATGCCCAATCTGTATTTTTATTGTGTAGCCTAAGTGGGGTTTCGCGTTGTGTTGCCATAGCACTTGTTGTCATTATTACCGGTGTGTGACTTGATGAGCCATCGAGACAGGATTCAGTTTTTATTATTATATTATTATTGATTGATATTGATATTGAAATCTGAAAAAAATATAGATCTAAAATTAACCGATCGGTACAGACCGACCGATCGATAGTTCCTATTCAAAGTTCGTTTTTTTTTTTCGTTTGATTACAGATCAATGACATCCACCGTCTCATCGCTCGTGAGATAGCTAAAGACGAACAGAGCTTCAACAACGCAGCGCGCCAGAATGAAGAGTTCATACGAAAGGAGAAGGAGGTAACAATGTCAACTTGCTTACCTAGGTATATAAATAAAAATGAATTGCCGTTCGTTAGTCTCGCTAAAACTCGAGAACGGCTGGTCCGATTTAGCAAATTTTGGTCTTGAAATGTTCGTTTTTTTTTAGGCGGTACGAAGTTTGCCGGGTCAGCTAGTAATAAATAAAAAAGGCATATGTGATTGATACAATGGGGATTCTTTAACATTCAACGAGATATATAGGAACTAACATCGATTATATCAGGGTTTTCTAAACTACCGAGTCGCAACCCATTTGTGGGTGCAAGCGAATTTTTAGCGGGCCTTGTGTCTGTAGACACATTAACCAACCTCTCTGTATTTTTTTTTCATATTGGTAACTTGATTTAGATAGGCCGTTGTCCAGATAACTTTCGAGTCACTAGACTATATAAATCTCATATTGTTCCCTAGCTGGATGACAAGCGCAAGGCTCAAATCGAGCGACATCGACAAGCCATCATGAAGCAGATCAACGATAAAGAACGTGCCAGGTAAACTTTAACAAGACTACATAATGTAAAATAGCCAATTATTATGACACGAGCGAAAAAATAGTCCCCAATCTGAATAGTTACTAATTATTCACATAACATACCCTTTTATCCCCGAAGTGGTAGGCAGAGATGCACATTACGGCATTACCTTAGTAACAAATATTAGGTTCTCTCCATTTCTATTTTTAGGTTTGCGTAATCAAAGAGCGTAAAAAGTTGTATATCGTAATCCGTAAAATAAATAGTTGTAATGCATAACAGGGCTGACCTTCGCGAGAAGATCCACAATGAGGGCGTGGCGCTGCGCATGGAACAAGAACAGCAGGAGAAATACGAGAAGGCGGTCATCAAGGAGAAGGTATGCGAAATTAAATTCGAGCAGATTGATCACCTGATGGTAAGCAATCGCCCATGGATATACGTAACACCACCGTAACACCACGAGTTACAAGTGCGTTGCCGGACTTTTGGGGGTTTTAGGATTCTGGTAATACAAGAACTGTGTTGTTGACATAATTTTCTTCTCCAGGTGGCCACAATGCGCAGCCAGAAGGTGGCAGAGAAGTATGTCAAAGAAGTGGAACAGACGCTCACCAAGAGCGGATATGTTCAGTAGAACTGAGTATGCACAACATTGCGCTCTATTTTTTCTTTCTCGATGTATTTTTTGCACCATCGGTAATAATTTTGTTACCTATGAAATGGTCCTACTGCATGTGCAAGATTTCTTAATTATGTGCCTTATTACATACTAATAAAGTGATAATAATATTAAAATACAGTTACAAAAGTATTTTAATGTTAAATGTTTGATATTGATTTAGGTTGGTGTGTTGTGTGTGTAGATTTCTAAAAATTGTGTTTGACAAATAAAATGCATTATTTATTTGAAAAACTGAAACGAATTATTAATATTGGTACAAAATAAAATTAAATATTGTCAAAAGTCAAGATTTAATACTAAATTCACTAATAAAAAGTACACAATTATACACAAGTCAGCCATAACATTAAGAATTAATTCATAAACAATAAAACATTCACACTCATAAAAACTAATAATTCCTATAGATATAACCACTCAATGGGAACTTCCCAGAAACTGGATTACACTAGTAAATACTGGACAAAGTATTCTCAATTTGTATAAAACCAGTATTATCAGTATCACTGGATAGGAGTTTTCTCATACCTAGGAATAAAAACCAAATATAGTATACCTGGCCATAAATATTGCACATCAACAAGCAAGCATATAACAAGCAGCTGAAAGTATTGATTATTAACAACAAAGTGAAAGTATATAATATATTTTTATTACTATAATTATTTTTATATTCGAGAATTAATTGGTTTTAATTGTCGTATCGATAAACGTTCATTAGTTAAAAAAAATATTTTTAACTTCATTTACATTCATGATTCATCCTTCCATCAACTGGTCAACATTTATTTAAGGTTAGGTAATTTTTGGGTGTTGAACCATAAAAACGTTTCAAAGTATCAAAGTATGAAATAAATTGTATTTAGTTTATTTGCAGCAAACGCACTTGTAGAGTTTAAAAAACCAATTTTAATGAAATATAACAATACTTATCGACGTAATGTACACTGGGGCATCGTTCATCTCATTAACTTTCCGTCTATTCTTTTACCTTATACAAAATCAACACGAACTCTACGAAATATTCGTAAAGGGACATCGGAAACCAACGCTTTGAGGGCTGATCTACTACTGACATGTACTGATAACACTGCCGTGTAATGAAGAATTCGGAACCAATAGGTATTTTAATGACGTCACAAAATCAATTTCAAAATAACAATGATGTGTTGTCTCTTTCTACTTAGGCAAAAAGACATAAGTAAAAAAGAAACAACAGTACATTTAATTTACCGTCGAGATATATCTTAAATTCTACGCATAGATAATCATGTGTCATCATATTTTATATCAATGGCTGAAACTAGTCGATCACTTTCGTCGAATAAGGATTGAAAAATAAAGTTTCATACAAATATTTGTTCGAGTCTAATATCAGACAAAATCGTCTGCTCTAAAAGTCAATGTGCAATAATCATAACCGAGTACTGTAGGTAACAATGGGAATTTTCCCAACTCCTGGGCATTGGGCAATCATGTTCCTAGGTAATGAGAATTTTCCCAATGGTTGGGTAACCTTATTTAATAGCCTTTTCTCCAAGTTTGACCACTTTGTCAAGGTTGTCTTTGAGTGTTTTCAGTTGGTTGAGTACATTGGAGTCCATTAGAGAGAATGGAATGTATGCTTGTGACTGGCGCAACTGTTTGGGCTGGAGGGAGAGCATCGTGCCGTCCTGTAGGAGGATGTTGCAGTTCGCCATCTCGTCGGGTTTCATTCTGGAAAGGGAAATAGTCAATTAATTTATGTAATGGCGAAATTAACTCAGTCTGGTTTAGTATCGCGAAGTTTGACGCTCCGTGATCGTATAATGCTGCTCATGAATATAAACCCCTAAAGTGGCTTGAAACTAGTCAAGTTACCTCGTCAAATAGTTACGTAAATAAACTTGAATCAGTTTGACATAAAAACAATGAATACAGTTAATAATAGCTACTGAGTCTAAAAAGGTAAATCTTTAATTTTAAGGAGTTTTATTCGTAAATGTACTTACGTGTAACAAGTGGGCACCATGACGGGCGAGCCAGACATGGACACCACCATCTCTCCCTGTCGCGGCTGACGCAGCACTGTCAGAGGAGTTTGAGGGGTCACCTGGAAGGAACAAACAATATTATAAGGACTATGTAGTTGGTTTAAAATAAATGAAGTTAAGTTTTCACAATATTTCCATCAAGAGATCATCCAGTAAATCAAGATTTCCACATGTAAAGTCTACTCTGTGATCCAGAAATTGTTGTTCTTGGTTGGAGTATATGAACTTACATAATTGTAAACTATCGATCTCTCATCGACATTAGAGAAAGCTAAGTAAAATCGCGGGTTACTCACGTGAATATTCTGAGAAAAGCTCTACTAGTTTCGAACCACAGAGGGGTTCTTCCTCATGAGCAGCGTGCGCGGTCGCGGCGACGTCGCGCATCTTCTAGTAGAGCAACTAGTAGAGCTTTTCTCAGTATATTCACGTGAGTAACCCGCGATTTTACTTAATTTAGTATGTCTCACGATAGTTATTATAAAAACACTAGAGAAAGCTCTTGTGTAGGGCCACTTTTAAGATAATAAATACGTATCTATTGTTATGCTATAATAATATTTATCTGATGGTATTAAAATCACAAATCTCTTACCTTTGGCGTAATAGCAGGATAGTTGACGGCAGCATTCTTATTATAAGCGGGCGTGCGGTAGACGGACCGCGAGCGACGTCGCTGTACAGTCTTGTTGGCGGTGGGCGGCGGCAGCTTGCGACACGACGCGTCGGCCGAGCGGGAGCGACGCGCGGTCGCCGTCGACCGACCTGTCGTTGATCTACCTACTGTTGTGGGGACCGCTGGAATAGACGTGACGATGATTTTATAAAATATTTTTAATAATACAACTTATTAGTTTAACAATAACCGTAATTACTTTTAAAATTAAATAATGATACGTTAATACTGATGATTTTGCTAGATAAAATGAATGAATGAATTTTATTCAATAACAGTGTTTAAATCTAGTTACTTACAGGAAATAAGAGATTATGATGAAAGATAATAAAAATACAGAATCCAAGATATGAAAGCTACAACTAGGTGTTCAGCCTTGCTTTACTTTTTAATGGTAGGTGATAGAATAAAAGCATTCATTATTTGCATAAACAATTCAAAATTAAGAAAATAATACTTAACACAATGCCAAGAGTGTGTATATATTTTATATCAACATATAACATATATGCACTCCTTTTTTCATTTAACTACATTTAACCAGAATATAATATAACTTTACTAAGTAGTAGTTGCATGTAGAATAGGGTAGTTGCCTAAATTTTATTCCAATCTCCGTTGGTAGATTATATTAAACATTAGACACGTATTCTTTCTTTTTCTTACAAAAGTAAATAACTAATAACTTTCGACGATATACCAATTTGAAATGTAATGTGACGTCACAGCGTGCTTTATTTTGTAGCACGTTGTGACGTAACAACCTCCCACTCCTTAACGCCATTTTATCTAAGTGTTTAAACTTTATACGGGAAAATAAAAAAAATACGTGTCCAATATTTTTTCATTATCTAACTGACAGACTAATTAGATTTAGAATTACGCTGGCAACTACCCTATTTCAGATCCTTTTCTAGTTTCTTTGCCTAAACCTACCAATCTCTTAGTAAAGCAAGTCCAAACAAGACCAGTTGCAGTATAAAAGCATGGTACTCACGTATTTGCCTCTTGCTGCGGCCGCCGGAGCCCTGCGACGAGTTCTCCGTCAGATACCCTGCCCCAAGGAAGCTCCCAGTTAGTGGAAATATGGTTGGGGGTTAGTTCATGGCCAGAGACCAATGAAAGACTGAATAAAGTATTGATTGAAGAGTATTTTGAGTATGATTTGTGATCTTTGATGGATTTGTTAATTTAATGAGTATCAAATGTTTTTATTAAAGATCTGTGTTTTGAAAATATGGTGTTTCAGAAGAAAATTTCAAAGATAAAAGTTTTTGTAAATAAATGTATGGTGCTAAAGTCAAGATTTATTACTTTGATGTTTCTTTTTATAAAGTTGTTTAGATTTTTTCACAAAAATAGTGTTTGCCAAAGACAATTTTTGTATTATTTTGTTTTTTATTGTTTGTTTTACAAAAATAGCCTTAGTTAAAGATAATATTTGATAGAAGTTTTTGTGATGTATAGCAGAAATGTAATGTAGTTTATGTAGCATACAGAATTTTAGTTGATAACAAGCAACTAAAGTCTAAATGATATTTTTCTATTCATCTAATCTAACAGCACTATATACAGTAAAGTACACTACAATTAATACTACGGACAAATAAAAGAATGATTAACAAAAATAATGTAAACATATTCTATCTATAAGTTACATGTATGTATTAACATCAGTTACTGTTGCCCATTATTAGTAAGGTCACGTAATTTCTTTCCCAAGTTAAGGAATTATGTTTACAAATATCGTATGATGATAATAAGTACCCATGATCCACGATTTAAGATAAATATTATTAAATGATACTTTACCATCATCATGTGAAGCAGAGCGGCTAGAATGACGAGTCCTTCTTGTGTTTGTTGGAACTTCTTTTAGGTGTAATTCTGATTTCTGTGAAATTATGATCGTCCGTGTAAACTGAGAGAAAATGCTTGCGGCATTAAGTTCACACAATGTATACTGAGAAAAGCTCTACTACTATTTACTTTCTACTATTTAGTTGATACAGCTTATTATTAAACATGGTTTTCTTTCCATAGTAACATAACATCACACCTTTAATCCCCGAAGGGCTACCCCTTCAGGCAGTGGCGTAACTATACTATTGGAGGCTGGGGGCCTATGGCATGTTGCCAACTTACCACCCCGTAGTTACGCCACTGCCTTCTGGCTAGATGGCTAAGAGCTACGCCCTGGCAGAGGTACACATTACGGCACTTATTGCCACTGTACAACGTAACATTTAATTACAGTATCAATGTAACATTTAATTAAGAATTAGTGAATTACACATAACATTACGCCTTTTTATCACCGAAGGGGTAGACAGAGGTGCACACAGAAGTAACACCCACTTTTCACTATTTATGTTATGAGTCCCATGTAATAGGGGTGAATTAGTAAAAAGGAACTATAAAAATGTTATATTTAAGAAGTCGCTTACCAACTGTCCGACAGTTTTCTGCAGGTATACATTGCTGATAGATCCAAGAAGTATCTTAAAGGCAAGCTCCACATTCCGCAGCTCCATGTGAGCGCGGGAATCTATCTTATTCTTCTGGTCTGTGACTGAAAATGATATTTCAAAGTTTGAACTCAAAATATTGGAAATCTTGATTGTAAATGTTAAATGAAAGTTGTAGTAAGTGAACTTTACTTATAAATGTAAAAACTAATTATGTAGGGCCAGTAAATCACACAGAAGTCGTTTTTAATAAGAAATTATAGCATTGAATACTTATTACTTTGTAAACAAAGTAGGTAAAAGGATTCATGAGTACTTTTCTGTGTGTGATTTTTATGTTTATCTCCTAATCATGAATTAGAGCAACGATTCTGTAGTTAAAATTAACAAAAACTCACCCAATTTGTTCAGTTTTTTCAAGGCATCGTCGTCTTCAGCGGTTTTTTCCTGTTTCCTTACTGGCCTTTTTGTCCGTGGCATTTTTAATTAATCAAGGATATATACAACTTAATAACACAGTCCTTAAGGTTGCACTACTGTTTAGGCCCGGTTAACGTAATCTGTTGCATCAAAACTAATTATTTTAAAATAAAAACTTTAAAGAAAATTCAAACGTGAAACTAAAACAAAACACAAACGGCCATTTTTTAAATGGAAGAGGTGATCGGATACGTTCATGAAATTTAATTGTCAAAAGAGTGCACATAGAAGCAGAAAACAACAATTAATATTTTTTTATTTATGACACTACTTTAGCATAAAAAGTACATCAAAATCACACGATTTTATTAAAAGTCAAAGAAAATTTTGATTTATGCTTGCATTCTTTTGGAAAATTATCTTATTTTAGTTATGTATCCGAATATAAACTTTCGTTCAGTACCGTGTACTATTTAGCTCATAGAATATTATCGTTCGGAAACTTCAAACAGGATGTCAAGACTTCGTAAAGGAAGTGAACTTGCATTAATTTCTGTACTGTTAAATTGAAATGAACGTATTATGACTGGTATTTAACAAATTATTACATAAAATTGTATATTATTTTTATGTACATACACACATTATATTAGACTCGTGCCTTAAAATTACACGTTAAATATAAAGACGTCCATTTGACTTCAGTAGTGTATTGTTATGATGAATGAAGAATGGCGGACGTTGTCATATTACGATATTTGTTCACATTTCTATTGATAAATGCTTGCTGTGGTAAGATTTTACAAATATTTCAATACTTGACAACAGATACAAGTGTTATACTAAATTATAAAAGTGTGAAACTTCACAAACGTGTATAAAAGTGAAATTTGTGGTGGCTTCCGTGTTACAGTATTTCTATTATTGTTTTTATAAAGAATTCAATAAAGCCCTATCCAAACATGTGTTTATTTGTAGTGCTCAGTGTAAAATCTGTGGTCCTACTTGAATAATTAATTTATAAGTTAATACAGTGACAATAATAAGAGATGTCCATTCACGTAAATACGATTGCGAAGGCCTAAACTAGAACAACTATTCAATACGGAATTTCAACGTGATAGTAGTCTGGTCCATGACTGAAAACGCACTTATCTTAATTAGCAGACAAAGTAACTTTGAACTTTAAGTATATAAACTGTAGATTTTAAAATAACACTAGCAAATCAGATGGTCATAATAAAATAATGTATGGGAGGTTTTAACAATGATATAATGATGATTACAGCAGGGCTACCTGGCTTGGACGAAGATGAGGTGTCAGGCAGCACACAGGAGCCTGAATCACAGCATAATGATGACCCGATCACAATTGAAAAGATGATGGTACAGCAACCAAGGTAAATTCTACTCAATATAAATTATACCAACTAGATATGCCTAGTTCTAAAAATAATATTACCAAATTTAAAATAAGATTATACCTAAAGGGGAGGTTCTCTCTCTAAAATCATCATTTAACTTTTCCAAGTAAGTTTTCGAATAGAAAAAATATAATGCCCTACATTTCTTTGTAATCAATCTTTAGTATCTGTATCTATCAATATTATGTAGTACATACCTACATAATATTGATTGGAGATTTTTCCATTACCCAATTCATTAGAATTATTGCATTACACTAACTATGTAAGTATTATAATAGGTGCCTGTATTTGATTAGAAATATTAATATTTAACACTCATTCCTCATCCTAACCTTGGTATTATATTTATATACTAGTTAATGCGTAAATCGTCATGAATTATCCATATAAATGATTATTTATTGCAAAACCACAATTTTATTGTATTTCAAAATTAATATTTAACATCTGTTGTCTATTCCCAATGCTATCAAGGAGGAGGAAATTTCAAAAAAGGTAATAATAATGCTATATGTGTTACTGGCCAGTATGTTCCATTCATAAAATAGGTTTGATAACAATATCTATGGATGAATCACGGCATGAATGGGCTTTATCATTGGTCACATATTATTTATCGGTGTGTTATCGAGTTTAGCATGTTTGTTCCGCTGCAAATAAAGTTTGGTTTTAATTATTGTTGTGAATGAGATTTCATTGTTTTTATATTTTTCCATATATTGTTATGTGTCCTGATTGCTAGACAATGTACTTATGAGTATTCATTCATAAAATCTTTATTTATTTTCCAAAAAGGAGGACAGAGAAGTTCTCCAAAAATCAAATCAAACAGAAAATTAAGAATTTTTTTGCCAGAGTCTATTTCCTGAAGGGTATATAACCTGGGTGTCTTCAAGGCCCGAGTGAATAGGTTGCTTATGGGTCGACGTGCTCAATCGTAGACTGCATCATCGCTTACCACCAGGCACTATCTCGCCTGGTGGTGAGACGTCAGTCCCACCATAAACAAAAAAAAGTTTTCAATAATATTTTGCGAAACTTGAGATATTAACCTAAGAAACTAAGCATGGCAATTGAGGCCATTTAAACTGTCAAACACCAAGCGGTCACCGGTGACCGCGACCTATTGTTCTTTAATTGTGTCTATAAAACCGGTACTCGACGAGTTAATTTAGTCCACAAGAAACATCATCTTGACGCCAAATTTACCCCTCAGGTACAAATGCCACCAATGTGAGCCTCCAGAATGTGGATCATCAAAAGAAGAGATATGTCACGACGCGCTGTACTGCTTCAAGTCGTCAGTGCGCGCGTCCGATGGAGAGCTGCGCCACTCGCGCGGGTGCTCCACGCAAAGGGATCACTATCAGTTCACTTGTAGGACTAATACTCCGCAGCAGAGGTATGTGATGTTTTTCGTGTATATATATTTGCTGTAGTTAGGTATTTTCAGGTAAACTTAATGGCAGATAGGTTGTTTGAATGGGGGCTACCAATTTTTTTGGTCACTAGATGGCACAAATATAGCAAGAGGTTTTTATAATCACTGCAGCTGTCAATTTTTTTTAAATTTGGTAATTCGGTAATCGAACAGAGGTATCACCTGGCAATCGACGTCACCCGCGACACCTGGAACACCAGAGGCGTTACAAGTACGTTACTGGCCTATTGGGATTAGGAATTTGGGGATTCAGGGATTAGGGAAATAAAAACGAGAGGTACACATTAGTGCCATCTGTGAGCCAAAACACAGTACCCGCTATTGGCTTTGCCTTAATTTTTGCTAAGCCACTTTACTCAATTATTAGATAATCAAACTTAACATAGGTCTGATCATCAATCGTTATCAGATTTGATATCATTTATGGGAATCTGTACACTATGCTTGATTATTAGGGCACTTTCTGTCGAGCTAAAAGCAGGTCCTTGGTCAAAATGCAAGCTATCAACTTAGATTGTCACAGAGGTATTCCTCATAGCCTTCCCGTTTTGAAGCGCTCCCGTTTTATACCTCCAAGCGCTCCCAAAAGGAGCCCTTCGAGAAACGATTAAAAACATTAAAATTTATTTCCTTGAAGCGTTCCCATGATTAACTTTCGGTTATAGATGGGACTATACTAATTGAAATTATCGATGATAACTAGGTAACAAGTAAAACACATTGTTATAATATACAACTAGCGGCCCGTCCTGGCTTCGCACGGGTTTAGTAATAAATTATTTTTTTGGTTTTATTGTTAAACCTTTTTTTTGGTTTTATTGATTTTTTTATTCGCTACTGTCTGTTTGTGTTCCCGTCTATTTGACTTTTATTCCAATGTATAAACTTTTATCATTGTTCTCCGCAGCCTCCGCAAGCGTCATGCAGGTCTCCACAACATATCATGTTGCCAGGGCGACCTGTGCAACGCTGGTAACTTCCCCGAGCTCGCCCCGCTGGCTGACACGGCTATAGAGCCGCTGCCCTCCAATGCTTGGAAGCTGTGGGCCAGTGTGGCTGCCTCCGTGTTTGTTGTCAGCGCTATTGGCGCCATGGCCATCTTTATACTGCGGCGAAGTCATAGGTATGTTATTTGAAGTTCGTCTTTGTTGTGTTGAGATTGTGAGATTCTTAGATACATATATAACTTTACGCCTGTCTCCATGGGGTATGCAGACACTATGGAACACCAATTAAGATTGTTACATACCTCTTATGCTTCTTCAACAGTTTAATGGTCTACAAAGAGGTTTTTAAACTGTGATGCCATTGCATTTATTCTTGACGGTATCAATTTAATAATGGATTGAAATAAATTTAATTTACACAACAACAAAAAATTGTCAAGGAATATTGTTCATTTATCATAGATTTTATAAATGTTATACTTACCGAAGTATTAAGAAAATTTATGAAATAGTTTTTCTAATGTATGTCTATCATTTAAAAAAATTCTTTGTATGTATCAGGTTGCGAGTCTCCCGCGCTGCCCTGCACAAGTTGGGCGCGGACTCCAACTACTTCTCCTCCAACATGTACAGTCCACACGTCACCAGCGCGTTCTATGAAGGTATGTCTACGTAGTGTTACAGGTGTAACTAAGCTTCGTTGACTTTACTGTATCATTCGTAACTCAATTTTTGTCTATTTGCGTAATAATCCACTAAATTACTTCTGTAGATTCCTCTGCAACCTTTATGCCTTGTTCATATTACGCTAGTATTTAGTCTAGTAGCAAATATTCAGTAGCTTTCTTTTGTTTCTGTTGCAAAATAGAAGTGAGTGAGACCGACTAAATACTTGCTACTCGACTATATTACTGGCGTCGTGCGAACAAGGCATTAGAGTAATTGTTTAGTAGATTCAAGTTGTTTTTTGAAAGTTGTTATATTAGACAGAAACGTTTAATGTGCTAAGTATACGCCGATGCATTAAAGAAAGGAATCTTAAATGGCGGCTTGTACTTGCGTTGACAAGTAGTACAGTTAGCATATAAAATTTCAAGTCCAATATTTTTTTCAAAATAGAAATGATAAAAACATTGTCGGGCCCTATTTATTTCTAACCAGTTGAAGATTTGAAAAACACTTTTGAGGATCTTTATTATGATTTTGGTGGTATAATTAAAAAACGAATATTACTTTTAACTCATTTATTAATACTATCTATGAGACGGTCTTCCGCCGGGATTATTTTTATGTCTACGGTACGCGCGAGAGTGAGTGTAGACGGCACTAGTGTGCAAGCGAGAAAACATGATAAGCACCGCCCTTTTAGATTCCTTTCTTTAATGAAGAGAGTTATAACATTCGTCCCCCCGCAGGCGTGGAGGGCTCCCAGAGCGCGGCGCTGCGCGCGACGGCGGCGGGCGACTCGACGCTGCGCGAGTACCTGGAGTGCTCCGTCACCAGCGGCTCGGGCTCCGGCCTGCCGCTCATGGTGCAGCGGACGCTCGCCAAGCAGGTCTCGCTCTGTGAGTGCGTCGGGAAGGTGAGGACGTCTTTGCTATATTTAGCCTGGGTTTAACTTACAAATGCTGGGTTTAACCTACAAACAAAGGCAGTTATGAACTTGTTAAAGGTTAATATAATATATTCTGTCTAAGTATTGGCACCTATCATGAATATAAATTAACACAGGTGTCCATTACGGAATAGAGATTTGGATTTTGTATGGAGATTGTAGGGTTTGGTGTCTAACTTACAGATAATGTCAAATAAAACTATCAAAGATTGTTCTTACAAACTTTACAAAGTCAAAATCATTTATTTCAATTAGACCAGGAATGTACTTTTGAATTTCAACATAGAAAGTAGCTTCCTATGAAGAAGAATGAGCCTAAAACTCCACAGGTTACTAATTTTCAATCAAGTTCACAATACAATTCTCTAGTTACATATTTTTATTAGTTCGATTAACTGAAGCCTTTATTTTTTTGTCTTACAGTATATTAAACCTCACTATAATCTTATTACCTTCCCAGGGTCGTTACGGCGAGGTATGGCGCGGTTCCTGGTACGCAGACAGTGTGGCTGTGAAGATATTCTTCTCCCGGGACGAGGCCAGCTGGCGCCGGGAGACTGAGATATACTCCACCGTGCTACTGCGACATGAGAATATACTCGCCTATATAGGGAGCGATATGACTAGCAGAGGCAGTTGTACACAGGTAACTTGGATTGACTTAGTACTTTGAGTTTTTTGTAGGTTATCTGTCAACAGTGGCTTTAAGGCAATGGATGTTTATGAGGTTTTTTTATGGCATAAGCCGGTAAGCGAGCAGACAGATCACCTGATGGTAAGCAATCGGCGTCGCCCATGGACACCTGGAACACCAGAGGCGTTATAAGTGCGTTACCGGCTTTTTGGGAATTAGGAGTTTGAGGATCGTTGGGGATTCAGGGATTGAGGAGATTGGGGAAATGGAGGGTAATTGGGCCTCTGGTAACCTCAGTCACACGACGAAACACAACGCAAGCTCGACTGATCACTATACTATCATGATCTATCATTAAAAGACTGCCATTCAAACTTTATAACCAAGTAATTACACGTTCCAATCATCCACAGTTATGGCTGATCACCCACTTCCACCCACTGGGGTCTCTGTACGAGCACCTCAACCGGAGCACTCTCACTCGACATCAGATGATGGCCATCTGTCTGTCCACCATCAATGGGCTCTTACATCTACATACTGAGATACATGGCACACAGGTATGTAAGCTATAGTTATAATATTTTTTTTTATAAGAAGGGAAAATTATCGAATGACTTCTGCCGCCCGGGTGAGGCGGGAGGGAGTGTCAGACTCTTACTGACTAAAAACCACCGCGTTCCTACTGCTGCACTTCGAGGCAGAGCCCAAGCAACCCGTTAAGATAGCACCTATACCAAATGAGAACTCTGCAAGCTTGGCCACGACTCTAAATTTAACTGTAGCTACTTTTAAGTAAAACTCAATAAATTATTATGTTTTCGGCTTACTCACGTAATAATTTGACGAGGAACTCGACTAGTTTCAAGCCATGCTAGAGGCGCATATTCATGAGCAGCATTTTGCGACCCGCGACGCGGCGACTGTCGCGCTGCTACTGCCGAAAACATAATAATTTATTTAGTATGTCTCACGAAAGTTACAATACAAAAACTCAATACTTAAATACTGATAAGTTTATTCTTTACGGATTCTTATAAGAACACAGCGTGATGCTCGTCAAACTTCCCGGAACCAGAAATCGCGCGTCACTTCACTTTGCGCGGGAAACTTTTCTGACAGATGACATCGCCAATATGACAGCTAGTGCTGTCGATAACATAGATTAAACTAGTGACGTTAATTTAGTTGATTTTCGTCGTCTAACACTACTAAAATTGTGATTGGTACAGTCATTATCAAAGTCAAAGCATTTATTTCAATTAATCCCTAATTAGGCACTTTTGAAACTTGTGAACGTCTGTCCGTCTGTCTGTCAATGAAGCTAGGCCCGCGGAAGACATAACGGGTTGCCGGGGCTCCAGCTAGAAACGCAGGAGTAGGAACGGGGTGGTTTTTAGTCAGTAAGAGTCTGACACTCCCTCCCGCCTCACCCCGAGAAGAAGGGAGAAGTCATTGAATGATTTTCCCCTCTCAAAAAAAAGGTGCTTGATCCAAAGTGTAGTGTATTCGTGATTATGCACTAAGCAGCCTTCTCTAAAGGCTGCACTGTAATAGATGATGTTCATTTCATGTATCTGCTTTATTTTAAGGAGATATATTTAATTTTTTAATTAATGAGTCTCTGTATCTATATGCGCCACTTAATGGTCACAAAATGATCCTTTTTAATGGAGCTTATAGTTTTCTGCACAGGGATCTTCTAGTCAGTATTTGACGCTGCAATAGAATGGTCTGTCGGCATTTGACAATTATTTCTTGCTTTTAAGTATATTTAATCATAGTTATATTCTTCCTCCAGGGTAAACCAGCAATCGCCCACCGCGACATAAAAACGAAGAATATCCTTATAAAAGTGAACGGCGAGTGTTGTATAGCGGACCTGGGCCTGGCAGTGACTCGCTCGCAACTGTCGTCCGGCCTACATCACAACCCCAGGCAGGGGACCAAGCGGTATATGAGTCCCGAGATGCTGGACCAGAGGTATGTTGTAAACCATTGATGTATATACATACATAACATCACGCCTTTTATCCCCGAAGGGGTAGGCAGACGTGCACATTATGCCACTACGATGTAACACCTACTTTTCACTATTTACGTTATAAGTCCCATGTAATAAGGAATGTAATAGGGTGAACCTGTTGTCATATACTGGGCACATTTCCAGACTCCGTGCTACTACTGAGATGTTTTTTAAAACCCAATATTACTTTGCCCGAATCGGGAATCGAACCCGAGACCCCTTGCCCTTTACACTTGCGACCACTCGACCAACGAAGCAGTCTCGTTTGATAATATTGAAACATCGAACACTAATAAATATAATGTTGGCCAGCATCAACACAACCTGCCTGGAGTCGTTCCTGAAGTGCGACGTGTACGCGGTGGCGCTGGTGCTGTGGGAAGTATGTCGCCGCGTGTCGCCGGCCGCGCGCGAGTACCGCCCGCCCTACTACGAGCTGGCCGCGCCGGACCCCAGCTTCGACGACATGAGGAAGATCGTCTGCGTCGACGCCGCTAGACCTGAACCGCCCGACGATCCGCACCCCGTGAGTTGTTTTAAATCATTGCGATTTTATAAGAGTGTACAGTACAGATAAGGTTTAAATAAGAAATACTCATTTAGTCAGTTGGATAGTGTAAGACTATTACCTAGACTATTAACCTTTTTTTCTCGTCTTTTAAAACCTTTCCTGGACTTCTACGAACATTTCAAGACAAAAATTAGCCAAATCTGTTCAGCCATTCACAAGTTTCAGTGGGACTAACGAACGGAAATTAGTTTTTATTTATATAGATAGTTTTAAAGCAGGTACACAGTACAACATAACATAGCATCACGCCTTTTAACCCCGAGAATTATGCCACTGTACAATGTAACACCCACTTTACACTATTTATGTTATGAGTCCCATTTAATAGGGGTAAGCCTATTGCCATATACCGGGCACAATTCCAGACTCCGTGCTACTACTGAGAAATTTTTAAAAAACTTAGAAATACTTAGCCCGACTCGGGAATTGAGCCCGAGACCCCTTGCGCGGCAGTCGCACTTGCGACCACTCTGCTAACGAGGCAGTACTAAGTACAACTACCTAATAATTTAATGAGTGTAAATGTAACAAATTTCTCGTTCCACAGACAATGGTAGGCATGTCGCAGTTAATGCGCGAGTGTTGGCACCAGAACGCGTCGGTCCGGCTGCCCGCGCTGCGCATCAAGAAGACATTACTGAAGCTCGCCGCCGCCGACAACTCCATCAGACTCAACGAGGATAATGAAGTTTCTGTCTAAATATATAAACACAGGTACACACACTTGTCATTATTATAGGAATCTATATAAAAGGCTATAGGATTCAATGGCGTATTAACCTTGTAGCCAGGGCCTTTAGCCAAACGCCACTTTAGCGCTTGTCTACAGAGAGAGTAGAAAACTAAGTGTATGGGGATAACACTGACAAGTGTTAAAATTTACGTCAATTCCATATAATTTGGTTTTTTATTCTACATGTAGACAAGCGCTTAATGGTATTTGGCTACAGCTGCTGGGTAGTTTTTGCTAAGGGCCCTTATCTAAAGAGAGCCATAACCAAATTCATCGCCGCTTTAAAGCCAATTTTTCATTCATCAGTTAATTCTTAACCGTAGAATATAATTACAGTTTTAGTTTGGAAGAAATGTCAAATATTGAAACTTATGCTTCAATTGGCTAGTTTCCTAGGTTTACAATAAATTGCTTCAACGTTTCAATGCAATAAATAATTAAAAAATAATCATACTCTCATCCATTGATTTGACAATTTACCTACCTTTGGATTTTCTCGCTAATTTTAAGGAAATAAGTATGCTATTTGACGCAGAAATATGATGACGTCATAAGTGGCGATCCAATACAAAATCATAGAAAAGTATCGTTTTTGATATTTCAATAAAAGTATTGAAATTGACTACCTGTCAACTACCGTACCATATTAAAATTTATCTGAGCATTGAAAAATTGGCTCTTAGAGTATCATAAAATAGGATGAATATATTGCGAGGGGTGATAGGTATTGAGTAATTGTTCTAGTATCTATTTACACCTCTTCTGTATTTATTTACCCTGTTTTACTGAAAATGTATAGTGTCAAGGAAATAGTCTAATCGATTAGACACTTAACCCGTCGAGCGTCCGCGTTCCTTATGATCCAACGGGTGCACACGTGACATTTGGAAAAAGAAAGAAAGAAAATGCATTTATTTGGCCATTGGCACACGAAAACAAGGATCATTACAATAAAAATAAAACAAATACAGTTAAGATAAAAAAAACATTAATAATAGATTTTATAAAAGAGAAAGCAGCATGGAGCATTTTTTCTTATGATCCACCGGGTGCTCATAAGGACGCTCGAGGGGTTAAGTTAGCGTGTAATTCTAGGGATTTTATAAGATCGAAGATTCACTTAAAAGTTATGGACCAGGCACTTGATTAATCCGCTATTGATGAAGCTCTAAAGAAATAATTAAGAACAATTTAAAAAACAAAACTTAAAACGTAATTTCATTAAGTTGTGATTGCGTATAGTCTAACAGAACAAATATTTGCCATATTTACTCAAATTTGACACGAGTATCTCATAGATTTAGAGTTTAAAATACGATGATCATCAACAATGATAGCATGACTCTTATTACCTAGGTATAAGGTTTAGTTTACAACTGTTGTGACAGTGTATAAGCTTTACGTTGAAGTAATATGTAACTGCTTATTATTTATAGCATAGTTATTGATATCAGACTAAAACTTTGTGGGCGACGTCGTGTCGGAAGCGTGTCGTAGGCGTATCGCAGTCATGACGTGGACGACTCATAATGATAAACGTTTCGTAGAGAAAGAAAAGAGATTGCACGCGCAACTGCTGAGAAAGCGGTCCTAGATTTGACTCCCGAGTCATAATTATGCCCATTTCAGGGAATCATTATGACAAAATTAATAAAAGTTGGTGTTATATTGTGCATCAGTCGATAGACAATGAAAATCGAACATTTCGATGCAAACTGATACATTTGGGGATTAAAAAGTTAATTATTATTAAGTAGCTACTTCCGCGCGGTTTCACACGCTCTGCTCAGCTCCTATCGGTCGTGGCGTGATGTTTTATAGCCTATAGCCATCCTCGATAAATGCGCTATCCAACACAAAAAGAATTATTCAAATCAGACTTGTAGTCACGGAGATTAGCGCGTTCAAACAAACAAACAAAAAAACAAACTCTTCCGCTTTATACAATAGTATAAGATAAGATAAAAACACGCTTAATACCCGAACTTGTTAGAATATATACTAAACAAACGGGCTCGATTTACTCTGAACATACGACACGCCTACGATACGACGTCGTATGCGAAGTATAACTACGTATGGTAGTCGGCAAGCGTAGGTATGTATGTAGTTTATGGTACTGGGATTTGGTGTTATATAGAGGAATTCTATCGTGATGGAATTGTCGACATTTACTGACCGTGATGGCCAGCTCTTGGACTGTGGGCCATAATCTCCGTACTTCACAGATGAATCAATTGTTGTTAGACAAAGTTTGTGTCGTGTAAAGAGTTTGTGTCGTCGTGGCCCGGAGGTTTAAGACGCCCGCTTCTCATGCATGAGGGTGCGGGTTCGAAACCTACCAACGACAAGTACCAATGTGACTTTTTCCGAGTTATATGTACTTTCTGAGATTATTCAGACGCCACTGTCAAACGGTGAAGGAAAACATCGTGAGGAAACCTGGGCTTATAATTTCTAATTATAAGTTAGTAATCGCCAACCCGCATTGAGCAAGCGTGGTGATTAATGCTCAAACCTTCTCCGTGTGAAAAGTGGCTTTGCTCAGCAGTGGGCATTTATAGGCTGTTGATGATTGTCAGACAAATATCTTCCAAAAAGGCATATAAAATTTTGATAAAGAATATGCCAGCCAGAATAAACGCTAAAAGAAATTTCAAATGCCTGTAATATAATTTTACCAAGTCAGGAGCTGATCATCACAATCTCGGTTATAAAGAACGTTATCTTTGTTAAGATATAGTTGTCTCTACATAACACCAAGTCCTCTCTTAGTTACTTAATCATGAAGTGCCGAAAAGTATTTGTAATTAGATGATAAAATGTAAATTTATAAAATATTGTACATACTACTATAACTATAATTATATAGAATTTTATATTATAAGTTACAATTCTTATAATTCTTTGCTAATTGTTGTACCGTGGATTTTTATGTGAATTATAATGAATATAGTTGTCCCTATACCATTTTAGAATCCTTATCAAATGCGCTTTTGCGTAGTACATTTTTTTTTCAGTAAATATAGTTATTATAAGGTGAACAATTTTATTTCGAAAATTAGTCTCGCCAAAAATAACATCCTTTTCCAAACTAAACAATATGAAGTCGGCAAACAAAAAACCAGAAAACATAAAATAAAACATAAACACGAAAGAATAAAAAACTGTTGGAACAATTCGTGGAATGTTTCATGGATATGTCATTATAATTCAAAATGTATATTAGACTTTTTATATCTTCCTGATAACTATGCCGATTACCTGGTGCCATTTGGACATCGTCTACAGGGATACCCTGTATAAATCATAATATGAAGATGTTTTTTTTATAATTGTATTTTTTTTTCTTATAATCGGAAAACAACATAAAAATCCACAGTGTAACTACTAAATAAAATGAATATTTTTATAAATACTAGTAAATAGTTAGCTTCGCGTCAACTGACGTTCGTAACAATATTGAGTTGCCATATCTTTATGTACGTATGTATACCTAACAGAGGTTTTAGCATTTTTTCACTGTAAGTTATTTTAAGTACAGATTACTATGAACAAATATATTATGGTTGTTTGTTTGTTTATATTGTCACTGATTTACAATGTATTGGATAAATGGGACTAAGGGCGCGTTCACAAAACTGCGATGCGATGTGATTTTGTGCGACAAGGTGTCTCCCAGGGTGACCATTCCTTTCGACGACCGTTAACGTACTAAACGTATTTTAAATTGAAAACTAGGTCGTGACATGAATCATAAAAAGAAGTGTGCACTTCTGTTATTGCTTGGAGATACAGGAAAAAGAAACAAAGAAGATAAGATTTTGATGCGCGTTGCGAATCAATTCGCAAGTTTTTGCGATGCGTAGAGGGAGCTTGCATATTTTTGTGATGCGACGTCGTATCGCAGTTTTGTCTACGAGCCCTAAGATAAACTTATTGGCCTAAGTAAGAGGTTTGAAATTCGACTCTTGCGCGGGTATTTTGACTAACTGCGCGGGAGTTGAATGCAGTTATTTTTGACTGAAGTGGTTGGTATATGAAAATTAGTGGCAATATGATAGTTCGTCTCATTATATTAATATACATAGTTTAAAGACAAAATTATATTGGCCTTGTAAGTGTTGTTCAATGATACGGTTTATTAATTATTAAACAAAAGTTATATGAAAGAGAACAACGCAATAACCTGGAGTAGGAACGGTGTGGTTTTTAGTCAGTAAGAGTCTGACACTACCTATTGCCACGCCCAGGCGGGAGAATTCATTGGATGATTTTCTACCGTCAAAAAAAGGGTTAAAACAGTGCTTTGGGTGTGTATTAATTATATGTTTATAAAAAGGTTGAGTTGATTTTGAACGACATTTACAAGCGAGAAAAGCTTTATTCGAAGATAATTCAAAGAATCTCTTGTTTATGAATAAAATATAATGATGATATAAAGAATATATTAACAATAACTCACTTGTTGACGCTACACTGTATAATAAATAACTTTAGCTTTTAAGGTGTTACATAATTGGGTGTTTTGTTTGAAAAAATAACAATTAAAAATTGAAGTAGGTATCTATGCAAAGTTAACGATAGGAATTGTGACTAACAATGATTTGTCAGCCAATCGGATAGATTTGAAAATAATGTGACCTGATTTTTCTTTACGTACTAAATACAATATTATATTCTGTCGTTAACTCGGTTTTGGCATTCTGACGATGGCGCTTAAAATCCAAACGTATTTATTATAAAAAATAGAGTTTTTTCTATCTAAGAAATGTCATTTTTTTCAAATAAACACCCAATTTTGAAAATTGTTTTAAATATGGACGTCACAGTCCATATTTAATTCACTGTAGTTTGTAAGTATCATCGTTACTGACGGCATTTAATCAATTTCATTTGTTTATATAAAATCAGTAATTTCATACTTTAACGTAATTGTTTTTATAATAACTATCGTGAGACATACTAAATTAACTAAAAATCACGGGTTACTCACGTGAATATACTGAGAAAAGCTCTACTAGTTTCGAACTACAGAGGGGTTCTTCCTCATGAGCATATTCACGTGAGTAACCCGCGATTTTTAGTTAATTTAACGCAATTCTGTAATTTGAGTTTTACCTTATGACATTTTTATTTTTTTATATGAAAGTAACTACACTTCAAGCTACTCTTATTATTTTTATAGATTGTCGACTTTAACTTTGAAAGTATAAGGTTCAAAGTACACGTAAACGTAAAGTACTGTCAAACACCAAGCGGTGACCGGTGACCGCAACCTATTGTTCTTTAATTGTGTGTATAATGACGGTACTCAACGAGTTAAATAACTAGGATAGCTTGATGTGCCAGTGTTTGACTAAAGATACGTATAATATAGCAGAAATCAATAACCAAATCTCAATCCAATATCACTAATAATTAAGATCGATTTTTGACTGAAACAGTTAAAAATCAACCTTAAAGTTTTGGCATTAAGATCGGTAATTAATTTCGACCGTAATTCAGATTTTAACAGAGGACCTAGTGCGAGTTATTTTAATTTTAGAATGCCGCATATAGCCGCATATATCGATTAACGTCCAGTTTCTATAACCTATCTATCTGTAGATTTGCTTACTAGAGATAGAATTTTGACACATTTTGTATGGAGCTCATGTCAAAATTCTATCTCTAGTAAGCAAATCTACAGATAGATAGGTTATAGAAACTGGACGTTTACGTACAACGGACTCGCACTAGGCTCTATGAAGTACTAAGTTCTTGTAAGTCAATGTTATATAAGACCAACCATAAAGGATGGTGTATTGTGTTCAGTTGTTGTAAATATGTAGAGTAAGTATGCCTTATGATGGGCGCGACGCGTCACTTATGAAGAGAATACATATTTGTCTATTATTTACTATGTTTTATTTAAAATCCTTTAAAAAACTGCCTCGATGGCCGAGTTGTAAGTGCGACTGCCGGGCAAAGGGTCTCGGGTTCGATTCCCGGGTACGGCAAAAAATTACTGGGTTTTAAATAAATCTCAGTAGTAGCACGAAGCCTGGAAATGTGCCCGGTATATGGCAATAGGCTCACCCCTTATTACATTTCCGATCGATCGACATTGGTATTGTGAAATGTCGTACTCTTGAGTTACAACACTAGCGCCCATTGCAACCGTATTGCGTGGATATTGAATAAACTAAATGGTATTGAGTTTGGCTTTATAGTCCGTACTCTGAATGCTATTTTAACAGCTACGATCGTGGTTGTATTGTATTGACATTGAATAACTATTGAGATTTTATTGAATTGAAATTGCATTGACATTGAGATTGGTTTGAAGAGTAAGCGCCCAGGTGATTGGAGGTGCCGCCAATGCCATAAAAAGATTTCTAATTGTGGTGGTCTAACTTTTCTAATAGATCTAGTATTTTTGTACTTTATTTATTGCTATACCTAATTGATTTACAATCTCAGTTTTAAAATACGTAAATTAGATTCAGAATCTGGACAATGTCACTAAATAAATAGTACCGAACTTTTCTTCTTTGTGTTGTTTATAGTAACAACACATAGATGGCGTTACTAGTTTCAAATTCATACACGAACATCTTTGAAAATAAATTAAATACACAATTGTCCTAAATTCATCCGATAGTAATAATAATATTTTATACCAACTTATTGCAATGCTAATAGCAAATATATCTACAGTAATATATTTATCTATATGTTACGTACGATCAAAGTAAAGTTCAACGACCATTTTGTCTATTTCCATACACATCCAATGACTGCGTCGCATTTATTTTCTACTAAAATAAGAAGAGTAACGTTTGATACGGTTTGTTAGTTTATTACACTGATTTGTTACCCGTCGTGTTTGTGTGGGGCTTCTAAAAGTAACCATAATTTATTATTCCTTTTGCCAATGCGTTTGTGACTCGTCCAGTGTTGCGGGTGTCCATTGGCAGGTTAGAGCGGATCAGTCAGTCTGCTTATTTGCTCCTTATCCCATAAAAATATGTTTCTATTTTTAATAACATTTAACTTGCGTTAAATGCTATTTTAGCGTTAAGTTTTATTGACTTGACTATTTTTTATAATTATTTCTCATTTAATTCAATGATTTCTTACTTATTACCTAGACTTTCTATTGTTACTGTACCTATTACAATATTGTCCTTTATTTATTTGCTGTAATTGAGTATGTTTAAGTAGGCAATAAAACGAACACAATAATTTAAAACATTTATTATAAATTATTATAATAAAAGCATACAAGAAAATAACTTAAGCTAAGAAATGCACAAGTTGGTACGTTTCTTATAAAGTTTCCACTTAAACTAATTAGTAATCAATTAAAACAGACTTCGACATAATAATACTATCATTTGATAAAATTAATTCATTAGATAAAATTCATAATATTGCACGTGATGCGTCAATGCGTTTGACGGGTCAGTGCGATGGATGAAGAATTCGGAAAACGTTCGTTGGTCCACAGGGACACTTTGGTAAAATGCACGCGACTTAGCCTCTACATTACGTTTGGAAAACATATAAAAAGTGGTACAAAACTGGTCCGGCGCGGGCTGGCCCTGGCTGACTTACTATCTACCACGACACAGGAGCAGGGCACACTAATCAAGGGGAATATATTGCATAGACACGATGTGGCCGTGTAGTGGTAGCCGTACATTACATACGAGTATACTAACACTTAAGAGTAGAGGCACCTAGTCGTGGTGCTCATCCTGTGCCAGCTCCTCCATGTCCTCCTGGTCGAACTCCGTGTCGTCTTCCGCCGTCGCCTCCTGGTACTGCTGGTACTCCGACACCAGGTCGTTTACATTGCTCTCCGCTTCATTAAACTCCATCTCGTCCATACCCTCGCCAGTGTACCAATGCAAGAAAGCCTTGCGCCTGAACATAGCGGTGAACTGCTCAGATATCCTCTTAAACAGCTCCTGGATAGCCGTCGTGTTACCGATAAACGTAGACGACATTTTCAAGCCCTTGGGAGGAATATCACATACAGCTGTCTTAACGTTGTTAGGGATCCATTCCACGAAGAAGCTGCTATTTTTGTTCTGAATGGAAAGCATCTGCTCGTCCACCTCCTTCATGGACATGCGGCCACGGAAGATGGCGGCCACGGTGAGGTAGCGGCCGTGGCGTGGGTCGCACGCCGCCATCATGTTCTTGGCGTCGAACATCTGTTGCGTGAGCTCGGGCACGGTGAGGGCGCGGTATTGCTGGCTGCCGCGAGATGTCAGAGGAGCGAATCCAGGCATAAAGAAGTGAAGACGCGGGAACGGCACCATGTTGACTGCCAACTTGCGGAGATCCGCATTCAGTTGACCAGGGAACCGCAGACACGTCGTCACGCCGGACATGGTGAGCGATACCAAGTGGTTCAGGTCGCCGTACGTGGGGTTAGGGACTTTGAGGGTTCTATAGCAAATATCGTAGAGAGCTTCGTTATCTATGCAGTAGGTTTCATCTGTGTTTTCGACTAGCTGATGAATAGAGAGCACTGCGTTGTAGGGCTCCACCACTGTGTCGGACACCTTGGGCGAGGGCACCACGGAATATGTGTTCATGATCCTGTCGGGGTACTCCTCCCTGATCTTGGAGATGAGGAGCGTGCCCATGCCGGAGCCGGTGCCTCCGCCGAGCGAGTGTGTGAGCTGGAAGCCCTGCAGACAGTCGCAGTTCTCGCACTCCTTGCGCACTACATCGAGTACTGCGTCGACGAGTTCTGCGCCCTCGGTGTAGTGTCCCTTGGCCCAGTTGTTGCCTGCGCCGGACTGTCCGAATACGAAGTTGTCCGGCCGGAAGAGTTGCCCGTACGCCCCGGACCGGACTGCGTCCATTGTGCCTGGCTCGAGGTCGAGCAGGATGGCGCGGGGGACGTACTTGCCCCCGTTCTCCGCCGTCGCAACTGTGGACAAATACACAAGGAACCGTTAGCAACATTCATTGAGGTAACAAATTAAAATAAAAGTATTTGCGAAAATTGTAACTACTAATTCTTATTTAGCGAGAAGAAAAACATTTTACGACCACTTAGGTAATTTCATCAATTAATTTGGAGAAAGCTGAAATAACAGTCAAAGGTCAAACCCCGTGACCTTAATCGGTGCGTGATTACCTACCACTTAACCAGGGAAAATTACTCATAAATAGGTATTATTAATATTAAAAGAATTCGGTTTAGCGCCGAGTCCTACAATTTTTTTAATTTACCTTTCGTTTATTTCCACAATTTTTGGTTTGAAATTATAGAATTAATACAAACATCAGAGCTGCTTACTTAATTAACTTTTGTTTACAGATATTCACGATTAACTCCTGTTCAATCCTGATCTTCGTTACCAATTATTTGTCCTAAATCTATATCTGTTACTACAACTAATCTCAAATTCTATTATCTAAGATACCTTTCCTCCATTACCCCGATTATCAGACTACAAACTTTCCATGCAACTTGAAATCTTGTAACTATCGGAACTTAGACAATGGACATTAGCCACAGCTCGCAAGCAACCGAGGTCATTCACTTGTCCATCTTAACTTCAACTTAACCGCACTTTGCACGGTTAACTGCGTTTTATACTTCTTTATTACTACTGTGATAAGGTCCGTTTTAGGAATAGAAACTTTAATTTCTAAGTATTCTAGAGATAATGGCAGCTAGGTTATTGTAACGGATCCGTCTGCGATTTGTATGCCAATTTTGTTGACTGTTGTTTATTTGTTGGATAAAATGTAGTTCTTGTACAGATTTACCTTATCTGTCAACAGTGGATTTAAGGCAATGGATGTTTATGAGGTGTCCAAAAGCAGTATCGATTAGGCACTAAATCAGTGTTTATGTTATCATCAATAGTCCGTGACAATCCTCTGCTAAAATATGAATCTATCCTCTACATATGAGCCTTTGCCATAACCTCTCCTCGTTACAGACCTAATTTTCAAAGATAAACGTAATATTTCTTTTATGCCATTAAAATTAGCTAGCAATTGCAATGTCTACCGCGGTCATCGGAGTGTGGAGTATCGAGCAGTGTGCATAATGATGGTAACAGTACAGGCACTGTTAGACGCCGGCCAAGCATGCGGTACACCGCACTCCACACAGCTACACACGTATCAAATAGCTTAGATTGCTGGGAAGTGGCCGCAGTTTGGGTATTGCCGAATGGTGTTGGTGAATGTTGGTGAGAAGATCTTGGTTGAAAGTGATGGTGTAATGGGTTTTGGTGACAGTACGGCATAAATTTGAGTAGGTGTATTGTCATGGTTAGAAAGTTTTAAAGTTATAGGCAAGGTATACTTGTTTCTGTCTTCGATTTATTAAAAATATCATCATTAACATTCTTTCTATACATTTACCTACAGGCTACAACAGTTTAAATAACTAGAATGCTAACTTGGAAAAGAAATTATGTAGGAATTTTTAAAAACTACATTTTGACGCAATTTTTCTAATACAGCATGAGAGACAAAACAAGTTGGCCAATTAAAAAAATAGAATTTTGAATATTTTCTTTTAAAAACTTCCAAAAAATTCTCCGGGAATCACTACCAGAGGGCTGCACTTGTATAGGAACTTTCATTTAGCTACATATTTCAGAAATGTCACTCTCTTTACACGTCATATGACATGGATTAGCATTGCATCACGAGGTCAACGTACCATGATGACATGATGTCAGTGGTTAAAACAATTGTATGTACGATTAAGATATGTCGGCTTTAATTGCAGTGAATCATAGTGAATTGTGAAGACTGACAGAATTGACAAGTTGGTATTAATGAAGAATGCGACGATTGTCTTATCTTTTGTTTTACACTCCGGTTTATGCGAAATGTGAAAAGTTATTTAATTCGATCTAAACATGGCATTATATCTCTTCTATTTGATCTAAATACATCACACATTTAGGTACAGCTTATAAGTGTCCACTGCTGACCACGGACGCACTCTTCTTGCGCGGAGATGGTTTGGCCATTAATCGCCACGCTTGCTCAATGCAGATTAGCGATTTCAAACTTATAATTAGAAATTATATCTCGTCTCTCTAATCCCCGATGAGCAGGCAACTAACACCTTGTAAATTAAGGTGAGCCTATTGCCATATACCGGGCACAATTCCAAACTCCGTGATACGATGAGATTTTTTTTTAAAATGCAGTGTACTTTGGCCGTCCCGGGAATCGAACCCGAGACCCCTTGCCCGGCAGTCGCACTTGCGACCACTCGGCCAACGAGACTTAACCCGAACAATAGGTTGCTGTCACCGGTGTCCTCGCGGTGTTTGATAGTTTAGGTAATATCACTTATTATTAAATAAATACTAAACAATCCATGTTCATTAACCGCGGATAATTCCTAAGTTTCTCTAGCTCCCAGTCTAGACAACACATACTTTATAATTGCTCTGTAATTACAAATTGTCGTCATTTCGTTACCTACATTATTCTCTACACCACTTTCTATTCAATTATTTTTAATTGGAGTGAATGGTCCTTATCAGAATCATTTCGATCTTTCAATACAAAAGATAATAATTCTTACTTATTTAGATTATTTAGATAAACGTGATTTCTTTCGTGTATTAATTTGAGAGAAACTGTCTTGTGAATAAGCTGAGATTGACGTGTGATTTAGGTGCTTGAGTGGGGAAAGACTTTGGTAACTAGTAAGTTAGCATGTCATCAATGATGAAGCACGCCTACCTGTAGTTTCCTCATAGGGTTTGAAGACACCCAGGTCATGTATACGTTTCAGAACACGACCTCGTTATTGGCTACATAAGTTTAATGCATACTTTTGTTTTGGTGATTTTTAACATTGGTCGTGGTGGCCCGGAAGTTTAAGACGCCCTCTTCTCATGCATGAGGATGCGGGTTCGAAACCTACCAACGGCAAGTACCGATGTGACTATTCCCGAGTTATATGTAGGTACTTTCTAAGATCTAGACACCACTGACAAACGGTGATGGAAAATATCGTGAGGAAACCTGGGCTTATAATTTCTAATTATAAGTTTGTAATCGCCAACCCGCATTGAGCAAACGTGGTGATTAATGCTCAAACCTTCTCCGTGTGAGAAAAGCTCAGAAGTGGGCATTTATAGGCAACAGCAACTGTCAACAGATGATAATGATACTTTTGTTTTTGATCACAGTTCCCTGCACACAGCAGCGACATTCACTTCATTATTGAGCGACATATAATGAGACTTTGTGACATACTCCACGCCTGGGGGCTTACTCTTGAATCCAATTCCGATCGATCGACATTGGTATTGTGAAATTTCGTACTCTTGAGTTGCAATACTAGAGCCCATTGCATCCGTATTGCGTAGATATTGAATGAACTAAATGGTATTGAGTTTGTCTTTATATTCCGTACTCTGAATGCTATTGTAACAGCTAAGATTGTGGTTGTATAGTGTTGACATTTAATAATTATTGAGATCATATTGGATTGAAATTGCATTGACATTGAGATTGGTTTCAAGAGTAAGCGCCCTGAATCACTGTTTGCCAAAATACAAGCTTATAGCTTAGTTTGGAGAGCAGTAACAGTATCCTTCGTAATGCACACTCGTCCATGTAATTGCCGCATTTCTATGACAATACACAATTTAGTTTTCGATACACGAATCCTCTAGAAATTATAAAAGTTTTTAAAGAAATCAAGACTAAATCAACTGAGCATCTTGAACTCGGTAATATGAAGTTTAAAAGGTTTGTCAGTGTAACCAACGAATTTATAACAAAAGGATCGCCCTTGTTACTGTTACCTATATCAGACTTATAGCAGAATTAATTGAAACTAGAAATTACATTTAACCTCCACCTATCCGTTCGAGGAAAGAAATTAGCGAAGTCAGTTACTCCAAGCTTGGAAACCATAACGGAGACATTTTCGACTTTAAAATTATCTAAGGACAAGGTTGAAAATTGATTAAAGACATTTCAATTTGGGGTAGCTTGAAGCGCTGGTCTGTACAATTACGAATATGTAATTACGTCCCAGTTTAGTAGAGCAAATAATTACCCTATTAAGTACTATTTCTTTACCTAAGTACTGGTTCCTAAGGCACAGACAGGCAGACAGGTAATTACTGGTCAATGTGACTTTCAACAACTGACGACTGTCCGTATTGATTTCCCTTGGCGTAAGAATTTTATGACGATGTCAACCTAATATCGATTTTCTTATTCACCGAAGAGTTAGAACGATATCGCAATGAGGACTAACCATTTATGCTCATTAGATTGCATTGATTGCTGACGTGGCATAAGGTGCTGTTTTCATGTATCCCGCAACACACATTTTAATCTTAACATCTTCATCTTATGTGCAACAACAATAATAAAATTCAGCGTATGATTTGTTTACAAGTTTAGTCTGTGAGTAAAGAATACAACTGAAAATATTTTTCTAGCCCTCCAGCTTTTGTAAGAAATTTAATTAGCCCGCGAGGGTATATACCCTCTCATAAACTATATAATTTGGACAGGACAGCCCTGCCTTACAGTATCAAATCATAGTTCATTTTTGTCCTACATCTCTGGTATCTATCTACACTACAACGCACTTTCTATTCCTCTGCTCTGTTGTTGCATAGGCGTATTTTGATTACAATGCGAATTTACTATAAAGTGGACAGTAAGTTTAGTTAAAAACTAGCTTTCATCAAGGTAAGGCGACTGTCGACCAATACTTACTCGGACAACTAAACGACCAAAGCATTTTTAAACTTCAACGTCTATTAACTACATTATGGCATTATCTATTTATAGCGACATACTAGTTTAAATTCATCTAGCATATGTTCCCAACCATATGTTGTAGCTACCTTGACCTCACGAATGTCCCTTAGACCTCCCAAGAGTCCCAAAGGAATTCCTCTGTACAATTAAAACCTTGTAAGTAATATTAAGTTATAAAGGGCCAAAAAATGATCTAGTTACACCTTGTTTGGTAAAAATGTTCTTTATTTATAGTTCTGTCGCCCAAATATGTAAAGATTATTAAAAACAGGACTTTAGCTTGACGTTGTCGTTTTGTAAAAATGAAAAGGACAGGTGAGTCAAAACAGCTTTGACATGAAATGTCTCTGGTTGTTTCTTTTGCTACAACTATCTCTTCAGGGCAAACAGTACTTGACTGTGTGATACCTAACTTTGTAATGGTCATCTTATCAACAGTGTTTCAACTTTAATAACCTTATCAAGTCATTATTCTAAAACCTGTCGGTTAAACCCAAATAAAATGTTCAGTAGACCTACTCAAGATAAGGATAAAGATATATTTATTTGTATAAACATATGTGGGTAAGATTATACATATTAAAGCAAATGCAGATGATAAAGTGAAGTCAATGTCTTACCTAGCTTTTCAAAGTTAATCTATCCTGTATGTCAAATTTATAAACCTATAATGATACTGACCAGAGGCCTCATTGTAGTACACGGAGATCCTCTCAAGCTGTAGGTCGCTGGTTCCTCGGTACACGCCGGTGGGGTCGATGCCGTGCTCCTCCGATATGATCTCCCAGAACTATGGACAAACAAAATGATTGATTAGTGAAAAAATAGGCTGAATAAAATTGGTTACCCAAAAAATGGGGAAAAGGATAAAGTTGGCAACATTATTTCTAAGTGTCATGTGTTTTAAATTGTGAACGTTTTCAATTGAAATTGGAATCATTCGAAATTAAATAATTTAGAGGTTTACTATTGGGTAAAGCTGATACAACCATTAACAGTATTGAAAATTCAATAGAAAGTTTAACAATAATCAAAGATGCCTTCCTAACATAAAAATTGACCTTCCCATACTACAAAAACATGATAATCAACAAAGAACCATTGCATAACTCATGACAAAATTTATTTCCGTTACAAATAAATCAAAACAAAACTCTTTATCACAACCTTATCATAACTGTGACCTTTTTCATTAGAGAAATGAGTAACCGCTGTACGTAACGGTCAATTTTATCAAACTATTCAAAGTTATCGGAGTCTAAATATTATAATTATTATTTAGAGTAAAATTCAGACATGTTCATACATGTTTGCAGTCGGCAGATGTTTTTTTGAAAAGAGGAAGGGGACATGGACTATGGTACATTTTATTTGAATACGGGCGCAGATTCTTTTCAATAGTCCTTTTTTAAATGATTTGAAAAGATCGGTTAAATGAATAGGTACCTATGTGGAGCAATCGTTGAATTTTAGATTTGTACAAATGGTGGGTCAATTTTGAGTTTAATTTCTTATTTAGAATAAGATTCAGAATGTAACATTAATGTAAAGACTATCTCAGGTTATCATAATTGTTTTTTAAACGTTTCTGTGTCGTGGATGCGTGTACAAGTTCACATACATATCACACCCAGACCTGAAACAACAATTTGTGAATCACACAAAGAGTTGCTCCGTTCGGGAAACGAACCGCAACAGCTGTTTGTCCAGCTACCGCACCAACCGCGCCGTCAAATATATTACAGGCTTGACAATCAAACTACTACAAACGGACATTATCAAGAAAAACTTTCTTATCGTAGCTGGCTAATTTGAAGCCCAGTGAAAGTCCATTCTGATGACAAAATAAGAAAAATAATAAGCAGTTTATTTTGAAGATTCAATAAATCTGCAAACTGCCTCGTTGGCCAAGTGGTCGCAAGTGCCACTACGGGGAAAGGGGTCTCGGGTTCGATTCCCGGCCGGGCAAAGTATTACTGGTTTTTTTAAATCTTAGTAGTAGCACGGAGTGTGGAAATGTGCCCGGTATATGGCAATAGGCTCACCCCCTATTACATGGGACTCATAAAATAAGTAGTGAAAAGTGGGTGTTACATTGTGCAGTGGCATTAAGTGCCGAAATGTGCACCTCTGCCTACCCCTTCGGGGATAAAAAGGCGTGATGTTATGTTATGTTAATCTACATGCCCGAAATAAATAGTAATTAATGACTTAATGGGGGCCCAAAATGCTCTTCGACAATACGGTAAAAGGTGTACCTTTATAAAACAGAGCACACCAAAAACACGGCTGTTACTATAGCAATGAAGACGGTAAATAAATAGCCTGCACCCGTATGCACCAATTACGGCCAATCACAGACTATTGACACTTCATTACTGACAATAGGCCCGCAGACAACTAAAGAAGTAAATCTTGCTTGTCTCTGATTTGTGTTCAGTGTTAGAATCGTAAATTAGCAGTTGAAATTGGAAAATCGAACTTATTGGTGTTGCATTTAAGTTTAGTGTTAGGTATATGAAGTGCTGATAAGTACAATTGGCTCCGCTTGCAAAGGAGGTTTGTGATTAAAAAGTGTAAAAAAAGGTTTGCTAAGTGTTGAAAACTCATAAAAAAATTATTACTTTTAAAAAGGTAGAGAAATCTTGCTCTGAAGAATTTAGAATAAAATAATATGTAGTTTTCTCACTACCTACTAATCAAATATGTATGTATTTTAATATTACGAAATCTATTTATATATAGAAAATAAATACTTCCTTATAAAAACATTAATCTAGAACAGCTTATCTGTCATATCGTCAATTATAGACAGTTTACCCCGAAAAAAACTGGGTTACCACAATCGACCGCATAATTTCCCATTGTTTGTCGAAAAAACAAATAATAACTACCTACAACTCTCGCGTGTATAAACGGCCTTATTCTTTAATGTCCAGTATGTACACAGCACATCAAGATACCACAAACAGTCTTTACCCAATTGATTTACAACTCTATCCTCTTGTACATAAGTTGAAAATAGACTGAGAAAATTGGTCATTTTGAGGTGCTTTCGTTTGTACGTTGACCTGTCCATAATGACACTACTTTCCTAAATCCACAGGACGTTGACTTAAGATTGATTTTCGGTCAATTTGGGACAGTTCGAGTTGAAAGCACTTGGGTTCTATACTGAGACCTACCTAAAGTGGGGTCCTATTAATTATTGACAGACATATTGCTCCGTGACTTTAATTGACGTCGATAAACAGTACCGAAGTCCATCGAACCATCTTTTATTATGCTGAAGTAGATTTCGTTAGATTTGAAATTCTTGTGCAATATTTTAGGCTTAAGTTAAAACGCGGGTTACTCACGTGAATATACCGAGCAGCGTACACACTGCTCGGTATATTCGCGCACGCTGCTCATGAGGAAGAACCCCTCTGTGGTTCGAAACTAGTAGAGCTTTTCTCAGTATATTCACGTGAGTAACCTGTGATTTTTAGTTAATTTAGTATGTCTCACGATAAATATTATAAAACATCTGCAGGTAATGTATGGAAATAGTTCACAATAAAAGTAGATATATATTATGATTATTATCATCTTCTTTGCTTGTCTACTTAATATACATACATGCGTAATAAGTACACAACGTCATAAAGAGGACGGCTATGGTAATATAGTTTAGCATAATCTAGTGCAGGGCATCTACCTTGGGAATGTAGTCATACTACAATACCTAAGTACCTAGGCAGCATAGATGATATTGTAGATATAGCTGGAAGAAGTACAATTTAGTACGAAAAATATGGTTCTTTTTATGTTAATTTAAGTGTTGTATAGAATTGATCCTAGTCTTAAAAATATGACTATCAAAATGTTAAATATCAAATTACATAGAAACGTCCTAACAAACATAACAATATTAATTATTTACTTTAGCATTCGTGACTCCAACTGCTCAACATCAGCCTGCAGGTCAAGCTACTCCAATCTGTATTTATTCCATTGGACTTTCGACTTTACACCAAAATTATAAAGTTAGAAGTTCTTACTAGACAGAAAGGAGTAGATTCATTTGCTGGTCACTGTACTCATTCAGGAATTAATTTATTTGTATTAATCTTGATGAGGTTTTTACGACGGGGGTGCTGGTGACGTCCAGTCTAGACGTTATCGACCTGTGTATGTCTAGGGTTAAACCGGTGACTGGAAATTGTGATTCAGGGAAATGAGACGCTAGGTTAGAGATGAGTCATAAGTTAAAGAGTTGTGTAAAGATGGCGGTAGTGAAAAGCAGAAAAGCTTACGTAGATGGTAAGTTACGTTTTCGAAACGTATTAATTAATGGATGATTTTGTACGAGGACAAATTACCATACACATAGTTTTACCTAGCATATGAGTTTAGTTTAATCACCCAAATCTAATTGAAGATTCAGTCCGATTGGATAAGGCAGAAGAAAACTATTAAACTGATTATTTATCTGTCACATCTTACGCAGTTTGTAAGCGAAACAGTCAATTATTTGCAGATAAATCATCCATTCCATAGCCACTAACAAAAACAAAACAATTTTCCGGTGCGATGCACTATTGATTTTCCTCGCAACCCCACCGTGTCGTATGTCCGGCCGCTTCCCGGAACCGAATGCATCGCTAGCATCGGACGGGCTTCCCTAATTATTAGCTGGTCGTATTGACCGCCTGTGGCGCCGGAAGGGTTGGTCACTTTATACTATGTAGAAAGAGATATATTTGAAGTGCTACTTAATCTGTTTTCCTTTGAGTGGTTGTGGAGTTCCACGGTTTATTGGTTTTTGTTTAAAGGTTGAGAAAGGGAGTGAATTTGGAAGACGTTATTCAAGAAGCTCTATGTTCAGCAGGGGGCGTTGGATGGTTGTTTTGTAATGGGTAATGAATGATAAACAGAAGACATAATGATGAATAGATTAACTAGAATCGTAAGCTGGTCCTTTGATGTGTGTATCACAGAAGGGGATGAAAAGAAGATGCCTTTAGTATATATATTAGATGATTGAGAATGACCCAGAAAATAATGATATGTTAAAGTAATTATTTAGTTTCTATTTCATTACCAGAGGCGCTGATCGCTGGTAAGTACAAAGGTAGCCTACTTTTATTAGGTATATATAACTTTTTTGTTGAAGAAAAAGAAAGAATAGTCACAAATGTTCAAGGTTTTGGAGCCAGACAGGAAAATAGAAGTAAAAAATCTAGACCTTGACTGCTTTTTCTATAAAACTAATTTCAAACATTTGAAGTTCTGGGTCAATTGTAATTGATAGATGACTTGTGATCTTGTGAGGTGTATGAGAATGTATTTTTATTTGTTAGAGAGATGATTGATATCTTAAGTCATTATGATGACAATGGGTCGCAAAAACATCTTTGTTGTTTTAGAGAAAGAGCTAAAACATGATGGAGGTCGTACAATTCATAATCATAGATAGGAGACAAAATATTGGCTTGAATCAATTGAAACCAAATTAAAAATAAATATGACCATACACAATACCGAGTCCATATACGTACGAAAGTTCAACATGACAAAGAAATACAAAACTAATTTCAACTGACATTAAGATCTGATTCCTCAAAAAAAGTGACAGCAAAACTAATTAACTCAACGTCGAACTGCGACACTTCTGAGAACGCAAGCACAAAAGTCTGACCGAAATATCAGTGAGCACAAACAAATAACGGTACAAAACATTTCATGGCGTCCAAAGTCGTGATAATAAAAAGGTTACAACCACAAATCAGTAAAGAACATTAAGTG